CCTACCTAAAAATGCATATTCCAGTAATCACCCTCAGAAGAGCTAGTGGGGCTCAGCAAGACTTAACTGAAGAATAAGTTGCAATGAACAAAAAGAAAAAAACCCCACATGTACACACTACGATATACATAAACGAGAACTGCTACACATCAAGCATGCTTACCCACAAGTGGGCAACGTTAGAAAAATTTACTGATGTTTTTTTTATTTCCCCCCCCATGGTGCTGGTACAATGAACAGTAGCATAACTAGAAAGCAGCATGTTTTCCTAGTTCTAACCACTACAGATAGCAGAGCTCAGGTCTAAAATAACACAGTACTGCTTATTTACAATTCTGTTTTAAAAGGGAATATTTAAAACATGTTCCCACCCCTCTCCCTTTGCATCACCTGTTACTGAATGGTAGTGGTAATCCACATACAACTCCTTACATGTTTTCAACTGAAACAGTTTAACTTCTAGTTATTATTTGCCTGGTAAAACAACTTAGAGACTAACAAAAACAAATACAAGTGGCAAAGAAACCTACAGCTGTATGACAAACATTTCTAGGCGCTTTACATGAAAAATAACACTTTGGACTAACTTGACACTTTTCATTTGATTGTTCTATGTTTCTGTCTCATTTCTTTTTTTCCCCTTTTCTTTTTGTTTTAAATGAACACCCACATCTTTAAGCCTAAACTTTATAAAGGGTAAAAGAACCCAGAAACACAGTACACTCATCTGGCTTGAAACAGTAATAAAGTAGATGAGATCCAGCACATCTTTGTAACATGCATAAGAAGGAGAAATTGGCCCAGCTTAACTTAGCTTTTCAATGAAAACTGAAATAAAAACAGTTGAGTTGATTTGCCTTCACTACACGTTTTTTTTTCCTGTTTTACTTACTTCCTCCCCTCAAATAAAATTAATTTCTGTCTACAAAGTACTTGAAGATTTTGCGGTGGTAGCAAAGCTACCAACATCCACCCAAAAAGATTCACATAAATTAGACAGGAATTTGGCTAGAATGAAGAAAAGGTTCAACCAACAAGTTACCCTGCAACTCGGAGGGGAAGGCAAGGCACTGTGCACCTTTCCCCCTGCTCGAACTTCCTCTGCTATCAATGCCCACTCAGATTACGTTAAACCATGCTGAGAAAGAAGTGGGCACTTCAGCCACAGGCTGTAAGTTTTCCAATTCATGCCTGTTACACAAAAAGACCCCCCTGATTTACATGTAAAGAAAGAGCTGATGTATAATCAAGATTCGTACATTACTCAAAGAAAGTATCTATTGGACAAACCTCACTTCAATTTTGGGGAATTGTAAAAGGCAGGAATAGAGCTGAAAAAAGTCTTTCATGTGCATACCTAAAAAAATAATAAAATCATAGAAAACCAATCAGCCACAGACTACAGCTATTGAGAAAACTTACATTAGGTTAGTTTTCCAAATGCTCCAACTTCCATCTCCATAGTTAGGGAATTTTTTAAGAATGTTCAAAATGGGAGGGAAAAATAAGTATGATTATTTTCTGCAAAGCAAAATGGGCTATTTGTTTTCATTGCTTAGTAAATGTATCATCTCGATATGAGATATGAATGTATTCAATAAGCTTAAAACAACTTCTTCTATGGATAATATACATACTTTAAGTACTTTGACTTAAAAATTGAACATAAGTCTTTTTAAAATTAAAGGTAGAAGTGTACATATAAAAATTATTTAAAACTAAAAGTATATTCTTAAGCAGTATGTATAAATATAACAGATTTTATTTTATTATCTAGTAACAAATCTGAAAGTGTTGCAGTAATTTATAAACTGAATGCTGACACAGGATAAGTGCCTTTCATTAGATTCTATATTGTATATACTTGTATATACATATTTTGCTAAGAAAACACACATTCTAAATTATAGTCACATAATTAGCAAATGTGCCCAAAAGTAATCTGTTCTAAAGTCTTCACTGAATGTGTGTGTTTATATACAAATAATGAACCTGATCTGCACAAACGTAGAAACAAAATTAAGGAATAAAATACCATGATTGAATACCATTAAAGTGCAGGAAAAATTCAAGTTTAAAAGTTCAGGTAAGATCAGTGCCATTAATTAAGAAAAAAAAAAAGGAAAAGAGAAAAGGAAAATAAGAAAATGAACTTGCTTCCAAAAATCCTCCTTTGGATGTAGCTTTCTAACATCACCTGCCATGCAAGTACCACCTCAGGCAAAAATCTTTGCATAAAGACAGACAAGGAACACAGCTATATATTACTATATTTTATAACTGACTGCTGAAGAAAAATCACCAGAGATGCCTGTGGTGTAACACTTTCAGACTTATTTAGAATACAGGTATATTTACACATATCAACATTCAGAAGTTACAATTTGGCAGGACTAAGGTGAAGAAAAGCTTCTTCAGTTTACAGTTCCTAGTGAGACACACTACATACAAACAGATAGGTAGCAGCAGTTTCTTACACTTCCATAAAAAAAAGTAATAGCTCAATTGTATTTTATAGTTTTCCAGACACTCTAAAAAAGTTTCACATAACTAAAATGCTAGCAAAAAAACTGGGGTGCTTCCCCCCAAGAATTTCGATATACTTTGCTGTACAAAAGGTGCACCACCAATAGCATAATAAGATGCAATGATGCGCGTATGATCAACTTCCTTCCACAGAGAAGGAAAAAGGAACTGTTTAGGCTAAAATTGTACATAGCCCCTTTTATTGACCAAGAACCATTTGTGTATTCATCTCATGAGCATTTCATTAGTTTTCAAATCTAGAAGCATGCTCTGAACATATGCAACAGAAAAAAGATTCAACTATGATAAATTCTATAATATCAAGTAAGCCACTACTCTTCTTGTACTAGCAGATGGTCTTTCATTGCCTCTTACTATTTTGCTTGCTGGTGGGTTGTCAAATGCTTCTTGATGGGAAAGTTACATATGCTCTCCTCTCAAGCCAAGGGCATCTTCCATTGAACTGACACCATGATTCGCCGAAGTGTACTTTTGCCATCCTCTCCCCCAGAGCCTGCCCAGACTAATTTTCCAGGATTCTGTTGCTCTAAAATGCAGTTCATCTTCCCCAGGTCAAATAATCAGTTATCTCAATTTATAAAGGTGAGATAAGGAAGGGGACAAGTGTCAGCTAGGGTGTTTTGGTTTTGGACATGGTATGGACAGTAGTTTATCTAGTTTCCTCTACCTGGATTTTTAATAAAATGGTGTTAACTTAAATACACATTAATTAGACACTTAAAAAAATAAACATGCAGAGGCAAAAACTGTGTGGCAAGATGAAAGTAACTGGCGTTAACATTGCCCTAGCAGGTATGGGACAGAGCCATCAAGAAATCATAATGCTGACTGTTCAAACTGTCACATTCTAATTTGTTAAAGTCTTTCAACAGTGGACATGGTATGGCATGCCCTCATACTGCCAACAGGATCCACTCATCTTTTTAAATTGGATGTTACTATACATCAGAAAATTTATCGATTTGTGCTTCAAAGCCCAAACATATTTGCCTTTCATTTGAAAAATGAATTAAGAACCATTAGTAACTTCAATATTTTGCATCTTTTAAGTATTTTGTAAGGTTGCCTTATCTATGTACCTGCAACATCGCTTTACAGTACAAATATAACCAAGGTTTTGCTCTGGGAACATTTAGAAAGTGTGCCAACAAACCACACAGAATGTGATGCTTGGAGAAGCAAACCCAAATTATTCATTTCAGACAACGCAGACCTATCAGCTTCTAAGTACTCCCTTTCATAAAACAAAACCGTTCAGTAACTATTCCCGCTTTGAGGAAAAAAAGGTCTAAATAAATTATTGAAGTGCAAACTTTTATTTTAAAGGAATCCTCTCTTTTTAAAAGAGCTTTGGTCATTCCCACTGTTACAGCTTTAGTGCAGCAGCCATTAACAGGTTAGCTCAGCTATATTATTTACCTCACCCAAACTAAACATTGTTTCACCAATTTCTAAAGTTTCAGTGGACACTCAGCACTGTGCACACTGAAAACACTGCTTTAGGGACTAAATCCAAACTTTATGTCAACTGCCTTTAGTACTGGGGGGGCTGAGATAGGTACTTGTACAGTAGTTCTACTAGCAGGACTGAGAAATTTGCTGAACAATATACTGACAGTTATTAAATATCAGATGCTTGCCATTATTCATGCATCAGCACCTCCACAGAGTGTAAAACTGTTTGAAAACCTGAGTCCAAGATTATCTGATTTCATAGTAAAGGACTAAAGGGGTGTCTAGAACTTAAGTTTTGAGCAAAACTATCTCAGCTATTTTAATTAATGGCTGTAAAGATACATTCTGTTAAACATTTATAAAAATTCACAGTATGAATGGAACCTACAGCCAATTCTAAATGTCGTACAAACTGAACCAATAACTATTTTTGAAAGAAAAAAACCAAAACTGAACAGAAGGTGAAGTATTCTTACCACAATGAAGATGTTATCACATTTCACAGCCATAACACAAATGAAAACTCCCAGCATGACACATTCCAGTCATATTATTCACTTGATTTTTTTTAATGCAAAAATTGTGTACCCTCTTGTTTTGCACTTCACAGAATATGATATGAATACAAGAATACTAGATCGGGGTCCAAGAAAAGACTATGCACAGGTCAACTATGTATACAATTTTCAACATGAAATCTTCCAAGCTTCCAGCTTTTCCGATGAAAGAAGTGACAGCAAGCTTCAATTCTTCAACAATAAGGGCAAATATAGGGAGTCCTACAGAGGGTAAGTGTAAGTCAGCTACTGTCCAGCAGGACAAACAACTTTATTCCAGCTCTTGGACCCCTGATTTATTGCCTCTCCTCACAGGAGGGTATAACACTGGCAGCAATTACAATAGCACAAAAACTTTTGGCATATGAAATATTAACACAGGATTGACCCTGCATTGCCCCTGCCCATCTCACACTACATTTTTCCCTTTACTCTCTTTTCCACACGTTCTAGTTACCTTCTCTGTTCCAACTCTCAGCTAACCAACAGCTAAGAAACACTCAGTTTGTTTTTTTGTGTGTGTTTCTTTTAAATATAAAGCTCCTCAGTTAAAGCCACGACTGAGGTAAAACAGTGTGTGATTTGTGCCAGGAAACAACAGTATCCAATGGTGAATACTCCTTCAAATTTCAATGGTCCTGCCAAAACTAATGAAAAACCAAGATTTTTTTCATCAGGACAAAATTAAACAGATGTAATTGATGAGCATCATCAGAATTGGTACCACTTCTTGTCTTTGTACTTCAACATCATCTAAAAAACAAACAAAAAAATTTCTAGTTACTGTTTCTATAATGTACCAAAAAGTACAATGATACAAACAAATTATATGCTTACAAAGCAGCATGAGAAAGAGGAACTTTATTAAGGCTTCTTAAAGCTGCAACAACAACATTGCTGAACAATGAAGGTTTAACCTGATGAATTTCTTAATGGTAGCATCACTGCTGCTGATCTAGCCTCAGACAGAAGAAGACATTTTGGGAGAATGGGAAGGTTGCACAAAAATTTAGGGTATAGAAGAGATCTGCATGAACATGGAAGAGAACAGCCATCCTGTGTAGTTACAAAGTAAAAAAATTAGCTTGAATTCATGGGGTTTGCAAGTACTGGATCACAGGACTCTCACTCAGAGCATTACTCTTCTTACCTAATCCAGCAACAAATTCTTTAAGTAATAGGAACTGAGCCGCACTTCTGGAAGTCTATGTGCCACTCAAGCAGAGGGTATGCTCTAGACCAATGTGCCATAAGACAGAGCAGATCTTACATCAATACTTAATTATTAGGAGTAATGATTGATAGATAAAAGTGAGGTGTCCTTTATCAATTATATTCCCTTCATATATGTCTAACATGCGTTCGCAGAAGTCAGTTATTTGCAAAACTTGCATTTATTTGGAAGAGAATCAGTTTAATGGTCTTAGTTTAACATGCAATAGACTCACCTCATGAGCATGTTTAGAGAAAGAATCAGCACTGTAAAGCATAGCTGCAGTTTTTTCTTCCAGTTCTCCTAGCTTCTGTCCTCTTTCATCTAGTGCCAACCGGGCTCGTGCTAGTTCACCAACTACACCAGATGCTGCTCCTTTGACACCTTCAATACCCCCAGGCCCTGGAATATGCTGGGCAAGACTTCTTGATGCCTTCCCAGATGCTGATTCTCCAACTGGTGGGATTTGCAAAGCAGCAAAAACAGAATAGTAAGGTTTTCTATCATTATTACATAAATACCAATGTAACCAGTTTATAAATAGGTGTCCTTTGTTTGCGTGGACAGTGAACACCTAATCATAGGCACGACTGAGCAATACTCACTACTCAATGTTATTACTGAATAAAATCGAGATTTTTCAAACATATTTCAGAGTTTCCAGGCAGGTTATAAAAAGTACAACCTTTTCACAGCTCGAATGTGAAATTAAAACTCTCTCAACAGTGCTGGCACCACAGTCATCAACAGAATTGTGCTGGTGAAGTGGTTTTTAACAATATATAGCTTGTTTCACAAGGAAGGTGTTGGGAGGTCAGCAGACAAAGCAGGAGAATTTTGAAAATACGAGCTGTGGTCAGTTCCAGAAGTGCTTTGCTGACGCAGCCAGACAGTATGACTTCACCAGCAGAAATTTCCTTTGATGAAAGTTCAGCTTTAGACTGAACTAATTAGGTGTCTATGCTTTCATTATTGTAAAAATCTTGCAAAAAAAAGAAAAAAGTCAAGTAAATCATGAAAAGGCAGTACAACTGTAAGAACAAATCAGCTCATCCTGAAGAAAACACCCAAGAATAGTTAGCTGAACAGCCCTCGACTCCAGTGATCGCACTGACTACATCTCCTTTGGCCATAATGGGACATCAGTTACCTAGTTCAGTCTAGACACTCAGTGGACATGTCAATCTCACAATGAATTGCATACTCTAGAAAATTTTGAGTGAAGGCTAAAACATTTTTGGATGCCAAAGTCAAACCAAAACCAAATCTTGAAATTTTTTTTTTAAACAATTAAATATTTTTTTTTTTCACCTTCAGGAAAAATAATATTAACTTATTTATAGCAATTTATAGAAAGAAGAAAAATAATTTAACTTATTGCAGATTCTGCTGTGATCCTTCTGTTAAATAGAACAATGCAGAAGAAGTCCAAAAATGTCTTTAAAACAATCAATGAATGCACTTTCAGGCTACGATTCATTAGGCTTTCCCCCTCAATTCAATGCTATTTTCATCTTGAAGATCTGAGACAAAATGGGTCTTTGATGCCACAAACAAAGCCTGAGACTGAGTTACAAAAAAATTTCTAATCTCCTTAAAAATAGGTCAGAAGAGTCAGGGCAAAATGGTGGAAACTTGAAATGATGTAAACAGATAGCTTCTAAAGTTACAAGAATGCTTTTCTGTTGCCATGAAGAAGCAGTTTTTCCCTGTCCCAGTAATACTAATTAAACATATAATTTGTGCACACAGATTTCTCTAATAGAATACTTGACTAACCTTTCAAAGTACTACACATATATAAATACAAATAGAACTTTTAAAGCAGAAAGTGACCTCAAAATATTTGATATTTGTTCAAAATGTACAGGCACAAGTAGACTAATTTATTTTTGACTGGAAAAATAGTAAGGAAAAGGAAAGAAAAAAGAAAGGATTGCCAGGCAGCCTTGTCTGTTTTAACAGCTACATTTCATTTCATGAGAAACAGTTTTTCTCATGAATGAACTTGCACAATATGGTGTTTCAACTAGCAGATATTTGAATAAGTGGAAGTTATTTTCCTTAAATATATGAAAATGCTACATGCAAACCCAGTAAAAAGAATAAAGCTGTGTTCAAAAAACAATGAGAAAATTATAAAGCAACAAAAACTGCCAAATCTGAATTTTGCTGTCCTATCAGAGGACAGCTGAACTATCATACAATTCTGCCTTTGATCTCATTCCTAAGGCATCTCTGCACAAGTCAAATGAGGAAAAATATTCTAGCAAATGAACTGAAATAGAATGGAGTTTTAATTTTCTCACTGTCCGAAATAGCGTTCTTCAGAACCAGTTCCTTTCAGTACCATACACTTCCTAAAGATGAATAAAATTAAGAGGAGTTGTCCCATTTCTTGTTTTATCATCTACTCCTGAATAAATGAGGTAAGGAAGCCTGTGAGAAAACAGTACCAAGCTTTTCTGATCTTGTTCGTAAGATGTACAACACCTTTTACTTTCCTCTTTGCAAATGCAGTGTTCTATTAATACAGGTAACACTTCGCAAGGATCCCTGGCTTCCTTGGAATGAAATACCAGAAAAATAACAAGTGCTAAAAACTTACAGAGCTCTTCTCTGTCAAGTGACTGTGCCCCACCTCCGAAAAGGCCTTTAAAGAACCCCCTGTTCGGTGCTTCTGGTGTTTCTACAGGAGTGAAGAGCTCACCCAACATTTCCTTTGCAATGAATAAGAGACACAACAAGGTATACATTATTTCACACACAAGTTAATGGAATATTCTTTCACTTTAAGGATTTATTTTGTGGATTTGAATTTCAAAATGAGTATGCTTTAATAGGCATCTGCCATTGCAAGGTGACTTAGGAAATAAAAAATAAAAACATATTAGGAAATCTGTTCAAACCATCTGTTCTGACAGTTGGAAGCTTATAGCTCATGAAATTCAGTAGCAAAGAAATGGGTTTGAGTAAAGCTGTATTTGCCCCTCAACAACTTGGGCAACATTCCCAATTTTGTTCTGTTAAAACTGTATCTACAAATACACATATCTGTGCATGGTACAAAAGTACAGCTTACAGCCTGCATCTCTGCTATTTCAGTATTCTATAGAGATTCCAAGCTAAAGCATGGCTGAGAATCTTTTCAAGCTGTTAATACTCCTGAAGAAACATAATGGCTTCCTTCAAGTACCTGGAGTCAGCATTCCCTGCTTGTCTCAGCATGCACCTCCACCAGCATCAATTGAACAAGGGAATTTTGTTAACTGCACATGTTAAACAAGGAAATAGGCTACCAATGAAAAAAAAAATAAGTAAGAAACTGCTTCAAATACAAGAGGATGGATGAAACAGTAAAATTTATGAGTACGAGAAGTGATTCACCCTGAATCAGACTCCACAGTGAGAAAAATTAAAGCATGAAAGCTGAAGTGCTCAGCTTTATGACAAACTTAATTACTGTAAGAATCATTAATCTAGAACTGTGAACCTCATAGTGTACATATGTCAGAAAACAGTCATCACTTTTTAAAATTATTTACCTGAAGATTTTCACATGTTTCTTGACTGTAGGTGAGCCTCTGTATTTCAGTTGGTGAGACAAGATAGAGCGCTTGTCCATTATTGGTGAAGCAGAATGTTCTGGCTATCCGCATATTGGTGAGGGGCAGGTAATATACATCCAACAATGGCCTTAGACTTGGCAAACTTAAGAAAAAGAATTAAAAGCCCATTAAATATACAGGATTGTCTATTATTGATCAAACTGCAATACATTATTTTTCTCTTTACCATCTGCATAAGTACCACATAAACAGGGTATCATTTAATGCAATTACAAAATCTCAAAACATAAATATGAGATTTTTTCATGGTAGCACCTCAAATGTGAAATTTAAACATCTGCATCACAGATGCATTTAATAGCATCATTTAAATGATACTCTGAGCATGTAAATCACAGATTCACTTAAAGCATTATTCAGTAATTACTAATTAAGTATTTTGGTGAGTATCTGCCAAAAGTTTACAATTAAATATCCTGCCTCGTCTCTCAGGTGAAGAATTTGTCCTTGACTAAAAATACACATTTAAAAGATCTCTCCTCAAGAACACTTGGAAATATGCAGGGGTGTGGCTTTCAAAGGAAAGCAGAATTCAGTAGCCTCAAACAACAAGTCTTCTGAATTACATCCACCATTTTTGACTGACTGCATATTTAAGGGGCAGTCCTCTTATGGTAAAGCTTACTTACCTTGTATTTTCTGATTCTGCACATTAACTGCAGTATTTACTATTTGTCAAGCTACTGAAGAACAGAGGCAACACGCTCAGGCTGTAACAATGCTCTTGTTACCAAACCCTCCTCTCCCTCAAAATAATAATAAACACAAGTAAGAAGTGACTGAACAACTGATGTCTTGATAAATAGAACCCAAAATACACTGCTGCCTCAAAAACATCTCTTGTAAAATTTTTGTAAAAACAGAATTTACACAATATGCTGGCTGCAAATGTACCAACAATACATTAAGCAGCTTCTGCTGCAGATACCATCTGCATAAGATTATTATTTCTAAAAACTAAAAAAAAAAAAAAAGCAGTGAAGGGGTGAAGTGAAGCCAAAAGCAATGAAAAAGAAAGATGTAGTAATCAAAACAGTAAGGGTTTGGTGGGGTTTTTTTTGGTTGAGGTTTTGTTTGTTTTTTGGTATTATATTGAGATTTGTAAGTGTTAAGCATGCATTTTAGAGATAATGGATTGTCTCTTAGCAGGAGACAATCTATGACAAGCAAAAGGAAGGAGAAGAGGTAACATGACTTTGGAGGCAAGTTCTACAGTTAAGAAATAAAAAGCAATATTCTTTTGTAAGCACATCACGCAGAAAGGACACTTCTGCCATGCATGTATCTAAAATAAAAATATTCCTAAGAATGAGTTAGTAACAGGGAAGTGCTTTGCTTCAGACCAACGGAAGCATAAAACATCCTTACAGCCTCAAGACAAAACACAAACATTAGATCAGCTAGGATAAGCATGACATCTATGACAGCATTTTCAGAGCATCAAACAAATCTGTAACAGAATCTAGGTCCTGTCTAAACCTATATGAGTAGAAAAGTATTGGGCATCTCAGGTATGATACAATGCTGCAACAACTTTACACAAACAGCACATTAAGTCCACTTCCCAGCAGCAATTCACACTTATGAAATGTAGTTAATACTTGGGAGTTCAACTTTCCTACACCATGTAACAATCCATTATTTACAATTTAGCACCTACCTCTATGCAAAGCTCTTTAGAAAATGAAATCAGTCCTGAGGAAAACAGAATTTGTTTGAATATACAGTACCTGAATATTATTAAATTTAGTTTTAATTATGGAAAAAAAAAGAGTGCTTGCCCAGCAAGGTGAGCAGCATTTTCTAGATATGTTTAGAATATATGCTGGGACATAGATCAGTGGAGTTAACAGACATAACAATCAAAAATTACTTTTTAACTGTAGTATGCATCAGATTAGCTTTAGTTTTATTCCTAGCAACTTCCTGGATAAGTATCTTTTTAGAGAATTTCCCAAGCTGAGAGCTTGCTTTTGCAACCTTAAAAATACCCTTTTAGGAGTTTTACTGGCACAATTTTATAACGCCATGTTCCGTCTCCATCTTAGCATCAGCCAGGACTAAAATGTAGGTGCAAGGAAATAGATATATACACGTTGCTGTTCAGAATAAAATAGCATTTGGAAATATTCAAGAAAAAGGACATGTTAAAATTACGTCGGTGACATGGAAGCACATTCAAACGTTACTTTTACACATGTTTAAACTTATAACTTAAACCCTTTACTTTAGGTGACTTATTTTTACAATACAACTCCTAGCAATTAATCTTGCCCTTATAGCCTGAATTTAAGGCTTTCAAGACATGAGCAAGCTACACAACAAGAAAGGTATGCTTGAGGCATGAGAGTGATGCAAACAGCTGCACAAAAATATGCAGAGTTATGGTCAGGTACCAGCTGAGGGCTTGGCTCAAGGCAGTTTCCTCCATCAGGGAGAAAATTCACATTTGAGAATCATCTTCGACTCAAGGACCTATATCACGTATTTGGAACTATTTGTTGAATCAGGGTAGCTTGAGCTAAACTGGTAAGTTTTTTCATGTATTAAAGGCAAAACTAACAGGAACGTATAATCAAAATTATCCAGGCCCAAGTGTTAGAAGTTAATCCACACTGAGTGAACGTAGATTTTTAAAATTCATACTCTTACGGAAAAGGAAACTTTTTACCTAGCAGAAGACTATTTGTTCTTTTTATATTTAAGTTACTTTCAAACAGGTCTTACCTAAAAGTCATAATATGTCCATTGGCACAGAAACATGCAAGGCAGATACTGTTACTCAATGACACTATATCTCCACGAAGAACAAAAGAGGTCTCTGTTATGTTTTGCTTATAAATACAGTTCTGGGATGGCAGTGAGATAACTTTTGCTTGCTTTTCCGAACATATCACTGCATATTGATTCTCACTGATTTCCTGAGAGGAAGAAGGGGACACTGAGACAGGTCGTCGCTTTTTTGATTTATCTTTTTCATCTTTATCTTCAGGAACATTGTGTTCCCTCCAGGGTTCATGTGCTGGTGGGACCAAAGATCCTGTGGTATCCAGAAAAGCCATTCTCAGGATTGCCCCTTTTAGCCTCAAGATGGTTCCTAGGAAAAAGAAGTTGAGCTCATTTCTAAAATAGTTCTCCTAATTGTCTTTCAAGCTACAAAATATTCCTTCAAGAAGCTAGAAAAATGAAAAGAAAACAAGAATTTAGGCTCGCCTCTGTAGCAAGACAGATGTACCAAAACCTCTGGATGTTTATCTAAAAACCAATGAAGCACATGCAAGAGCACATAGGTATTCAAGAAAATGTTAAACCAGTTTTCAAGTGTTAAGTGTATGCATGTTCCTCCATTAACTTCAATGGAAATGTATACAGTTATTAAGAGAGAGAAGCTGGAACGCACATTTGTATTCAAGTTCAGTGTCACAAATACAAGTAATTTCATTCTCTCCTGAGGAGTACACAGTGCACTTAATACCAATAATAAATGTTATTAGCCAAAGTTGAGCACCTCCTTTTTCTTCAATACAGACGGGTTCAGAAACAAGCAACATGCAGGTGTTTTTTCTGCTGCAGTTCACACTTGAGTCCACTTCTCTCTATCATAAACTGAAAAAGGAAGAGTTTTCCATCTCCCCTGTTTCAATCACTATCTCTGTAGGCCAGATCTTAATACATTTCTTACTTTAATTACATTTACTCACACAGAAGTAAGCACGTGAACATTTGTTAAGTAGACAAACACACACACACACACACCAAAAAAGAAAATACAAATGGCAGTATCTTTTAAGGTTCATGCTGCAGATCCAGTGATTAAATATAATGTCCATTCGGCAGCCTTGCCTTTATGATCAAAGGTTACCATGTCTGAATGCTGCTGCCAATGCTATTCTTGATAAGTCCAAATCAAATATGGTCTAGAGGTCACATCACTCCTACTCACTATTTCAAATAGCATTGCAATTTGTATGTCCTGATAACCATCTGTGTGAGCAAGTGGAGCAGAGCAGCAGGTTCTGCGTGAGACAGTGGCAAGCAGGAAAGCTAAAACATTGAATGTTTTGAGTTGGAAGGGACCCACAAGGATCATCGAGTCCAACTCCTGCTCTAGCACAGGACAATCTCAAGATTCAGACCATGTGTCCGAGGGCCTTGTCCAAATGCTTCTGGAATATTGTCAGGCTTCGTGCCATGACTACCTCCCTGGGAACCCGTTCCAGTGCTCAACCACCCTCTGGGTGAAGAACCTTTTCCTAATGTCTAATCTAAACCTCCCCTGGCACATCTTCCTGCCATTTCCCCTGGTCCTATCATTGGTCAACAGAGAGAAGAGATCAGCACTTGCCCCTCCTCTTCCCCTTGTGAGGAAGTTAGATTGTGATGAGATCTTCTCTCAGTCTCCTCTTCTCTTGGTTGAGGAAACCAAGCCACTTCAGCCTCTCCTCTTATGGCTTTCCCCCCAAGCCCTTCAACCAACTAGTGGGGGACACTCTCCAGTAGCTTTATATCCTTTTTATACTGTGGCACCGAAAACTGCACACAGTACTTGACGCCACACCAGTGCAGAGCAGAGCAGGTCAATCAACTCCCTCGACCGGCTCACAATGCTGTGCTTGATGCACCCCAGGACATGGTTTGCCCTCTTGGCAGCCAGGACACACTGCTGGCTCATGTTCAACTTGCCATCGACCAGAACCCCCAGGTCCCTCTCTGCAGGGCTGCTCCCCAGCCTCTCATTCTCCAGTCTGTGTGTGCGTCCAGGGTTGTCGTGTCCCAGGTGCAAAATCCGGCACTTTCCCTTATTAAAATTCCTACAGTTGGCAATTGCCCAGCTCTCTAATTTATCCAGATCTCTCTGCCCTCAAGAGTGTCCACAGGACCTCCCAGTCTGGTGTCACTGGCGAACTTAACAGTCCTTCAAGTCTTATATCCAAGTCACTAATGAAGACATTACAGAACACTGGCCCCAGGATGGATCCCTGTGGGACCCCACTAGTGACTGGTTGTCAGCCCAATGCAACCCCATTGACTAGATCTCTTTGAGCCCAAAATCTATGCCTAACAGCATGTTCAGCAAACTATTAATTTATTATTACAACAACATCAGTTGCTGTGTATCAGAAAAACAAGATATAAGACCTCTCATAGCAATCCAAAGGAATATTTTATCACTAATATTTAAAGCTGGTTTTTCAACATACAACCCGTAATTTGTATTCCCTTTTCATGATTCAGGAAAACTGAAAGTTTTCTACCTCTAAAAAAAAAAATATTTCAAATACTCTTTTTTAAAAAAAATTCTGCTATTTCTGTCTAGCAATTACTATATACTACATTAAAGTTAGAAAACATGCATTTCTCAGCAAGCATACATTAAAGTGTTTTTTTAATATTATATGAGATCATATTTGCAACTTTAAAACTTTGGTAATGAAGTAACCGATCTAGACTGTTAAACTTAGAAGCTAAATCAATAAAGTATACATTAAGTTTCAATTAATCCATAATTGACAAAAACATTTTCTTTAAAAAAAAATTCAAGAACAACAACAATACTTGATTAAAGTATACTTTAACCTATCTGATTTGTACATACCACTAGGAGATACAATTACTGGCTGAAGAAGTCTTTGCTCTCCTCCTGGGGGTAAGTTCAGTACGATGACAAGCACTGTACCCAGCGTGGTCCCAACCCACAGGCATGGGGAAGGTGATGTATCGGCCTTTCTCGTGAAAGTCTCACAGAAATGAAGAGCTGAAATTGCCTCACGTGACTCTTTATCAATGCTAGTTACACTAGAACTTCGGGATCGACTGAAAGAGTTGTCTTTGACATCTGAAAATAAATCAGGCTTAATTAAGAAGAATGGTAAAATGCAGGCATCAAGTGAATTCAAAATTTTTTTTGTTCTTTGGCATGAGCTATATATTGCTACCATTCCACTGATTATTACTCCTGTATTCTTCCTTAGTCACATTTCCTTTTGGCCTAGTTTTCAACACCGTCTCCTGAACAAAGCACTCAAATTTTTTTGCAGAGGTTACCATTATGTAGTTGTCATGAACAATTGCATATTTCTGTCTTCTTGGGACAGAGAATAACAGTCAAACAGGATTCCTCCTTTAAAAAAAAAAACCCGAATTACAAACCTCTCTACCCATTGATCAGATTAAAACATATTGGCTTCCAGGGAACATGGTTTAATGATCATATGAAGATACAACTATTTTAGTTTAAGAACTGAAGTGACATCCAAACAGCCTGATAAGATGCAAGTTGCAATGACTCAAAGTAATCTTGTCCAGCTTTAGGAGACTGTATGGAGGAGGTCTAACAGGTTATTTATACACATTTGAACTTTTAGTGAGAGAAACATCCAATGCTACCAAATACCACCTGGCACTGGCATGCAAAGCTGAAGATTTCTGTTTTGAATACTGTACAAAATGGTGCTAATAAACTTTTCAGGACGTCTTGTTCATTGCTTAGCAAATAACTTTCTCGTAACAGAGTGAATTCCAATATTAACAAAAGCCTCAAACCAGTAAACGTGCTGCTCCATCCTATCTGTGTGCTGTATGTGTGGGGATACTTAACACATCAGCATGTCTGAATTTATCTGTGCATTCACAAATTAATGCTTTACTTTAACGCATCATTTCAAAATTTTAGCACAAGACAACCCTTACTAGTAAAAGCTTGATTCAATTTATATAACAACTTAAAAAATAAGTTGTTTTGGATCTACGGTGTTAATGCAATGGACAACTTTAAAAAAGCAGGATTAAGAGCTAAAGAACAACATTTAACCGCATACTTTCTGGAAGTATCATTAGGATAATTTCATTAAATTATTGCAAAACTTTCTACAAAGAACATCTAACATGCACTTGAAAAGCATAGAAACTAGATTTCAACTGACTAAATACAGACATCTACTCAACACAAACAGTGAATCTTTCAGGAGATACTTGTCTTATTCCAATAAGGATAGAAAAATTATTGTCCTGTTGAATTTTAGCGAAGTCAAATGTAAAAATGTTGATTATAAAAAGAAACTAGGTCAACCACTCAGATGTTGAGTGGATATGAAGTTTTCCCATGTAAAAAAATAAAAGCCAGAGTAAAAAAAATGAAAGCAATTATTTGTTTTCATAATTCTTCTAATGACCACAACCTCTTAAGATACTTGTTTCTTCAGGTTTGAATATTTACTAACTTAATGTTTTTTCAACTCTACCACGGATTAATCAGTCTGAATATAATCTTATGTGAACTGCAACAGGTATAAAATTAAATGTGCAATTGTTGAGTTGCATCTGGTTGAGTATCTAAATAGCATATGTACAAATTCCAGAAGCATTACAATGGACAGGAAAAACCCCATAAAAACTAACTTGCCAGAAAATACAGGTATTGTGGAGAGCAGACATTCATTCAGAAAAGACAACTAGGGGTAAAGAGTTTAAGTGCATTAGTGCATACTACTTATTCTGAAATCAAGGAAGAATCTATGGTTTGTTAATAGATTAGTTATAGAGGAAGAGGAAGAAACAACAGTGTGATGATCCACTACACAACTTCATTAGAAGGATGGAAAGATGAAGTTCTTTTGAGCCACTAAACCAAAGGATAGCACCTAGTGGCAATGGCATTGTAATCATCTGGATCACAATACTGAAAAGCAATGGTATAATGCAGACTAGAGTACGTTCAAGATAACTTTTGTTTAAGGAAGTGAAGGATAAACACAGAAGCATATACTTTAGATTTTGTTCTGGCTATTTAGAGAGGAAAAGGGGTAAGTTAAAGACAGAAAAGTAATTTGAAAGAATGAGATAATGGGAAAATAAGTTTCAAGAAGCCATGGAAGGAAAGGAGAGAAAACTATGAGGATAATGAACCTGGGGAAAGGCAATTCAGCTGTCCCCTGGAGCCTGTAGATACGGCCACAGAAGTGACAAAAAAATACAAGCAAGTTGACAATCTCTGAAGAACACTATGCAAAAGCTATCCTGCTAGGAGAAAAGGTAGCAGTAAAATAATAATAAAAAAATTGCTTAAGGAAGTTATTTACAAATCTGAAAACCCAGGAGAATTTTTTGTACCACGAAATGAGGCATCTAAGTGCAGAGATCCACACATGCTAAGTCAAACAAAACCAGTCAAAGGCTATGACAATTCAGAAAGTACAAACTATTTTGAGCATACGAGAAGATGACAAAAAAAAAAATTCCATTATTTCAGTAGGAAAAACAGCAAATACTAAATGATGTAGAAAATGCTGAAAGTCTTTCAGAATCAGAAAATACAGAGAATTTCAGCATTCTCTTTCCTCCAGTCTTCATTTTTTTTTAAAAAAATAGAAACATCTAAGTATTATCAAAGTGCTATCAAAGAATTGGGAATAATATAGCAGACTTATAATGAATTGGATGATATTTAAGTACAAACGTGCTCCATTTTGCAAAGTATGATAAAATTCACCCATTTAGTAAACGTAGTAAGGAAGAACCGACATAGAATGAAAAGAAAAACAATTTTTTTCTGCTCTTTCATGACAAGGCCACAGTTAAATCCCTCTAGTTCTGGGCACAAGAGTTTTAGAAAGATGACGAAAAATTCAAAGTCCAGAGGAGATTAACAGAAGCCATCCTAGATTTAGACAACATAACCTAAAAAAGGAGAAGGAACTGAACTTTGTAAAAAAAAAAAAAATCTCAAAAAGTGAAGATTATAGATATGATGGTAGATACGATGGCAGCTTTCAACCACACAAAAGATGGCTAACAACAAGACAGGGAGCACTTGTTACCCCTGTTCATTGTGTAAAGGACAAGAAAAAGTTAATATGGAAGCAAGGAAGATCGATTAAGTAACAGGAAATTTGTCTAACTGACTATAAAATATTGGAACTTTCTGTTTGGGATTTTTCTTTCTGTTTGGGATTTTTCTAAAAAACTTATTTATTGGAGGTTCATGAATAGATGAGAGGTTAAATTGCCAGACATCTGGATGCTTGCCATAGCAATGAATTAAAGGATCTCTGAGGGTTCCTTCCAGCTTCAGATTTCTGAGTGGAGCAAGCTGTAACTGTAAATCAGGGTGGTCCAGCTCAGTTTTGGGATATCCCAGTGCCATGGACTCTTTCCTTGTGGATAGCAGCAGCTGTCAAATACAAAGGCTCTGCAGCTGCCAGTCTGATCATGGCCTGTCTTCTGTTGGGGTTGTGGTAGCAATTCTGCTGCAGGAGGGGGAGCAAGCTTTGGAAAGGAAAAGATAGCTTTCCCATTCAGGCATCATCTACTGCTGTAGGTCTACAGCTGTCCCCCATCATCTTTAGAGAACAAGGCAGTGGAGCTGGATCTGATCTACAAGCTGGCAAAGTACTAAACAAAAAGTAATAAATCTACTCATTTGTATGCTGTATTTGTTATGCAATATAATGACCTTCAGTACTACAGACTTCACAACTGAACTGCTTCTTATATAAAAAGGTATTGTGCTTTTTCAGGAAAAATTAAATTCTCAGACTGGTCATCCATCCAAAACAGCTGTATATTATTTTCATTCAGAGAGAGTGGTCATCAGACAATTAACACTGTAAAACTATGTCCAACTATTTGCTGAGTGGACCTCAACATATCCTGTTATTCTTAAGATATTTCATTTTTCAATTTAAAATGTATCAGATGGTTCTAAACCAGGCAATTTTCTTTACATTACCTGCTTATTCACACTTTTGCTATCACAGCACTACTGCTAAAGTGTGTGATAGACACCTGAAAATTATGATGAAAGTGCGATAAGCCATGTACATGATTTGCAGGCTTACCTTATGATGACAGCAATTACATTTTGTGCCTGAGAGCCCCCAAAAAGAGTGGAATTGAAATTTTAGTTCTACACTTCAGATAAACACAACAAAGTCATGATAGTTAACATAATTTAGGAATCTTACTTTAACGTGCTCGCATTCGGTAGAACAGTTTTAGTAAAAATAAAATCAACTATGTAAACTTACCTAAATCAGGCTTTAACTCAGTTGGCAAACTTAGCTTCCTGGACATCTTTGCTGAAAAGTGAAGTATATCTTTTTTTTAAAAAGAATAAACATGATTCTGCTGGCCTTTATTTGCCTCTTTCCCAATATTTAATATATCATTAATTATTACATTAATTGCAGTACTGAACAGGATTTCTACTAAAGAAGAGCCTCACTTCCACAAGGAAGGGGTGCAAAGTAAAAATATGGAAGATAGCAAAATCCCCAAATACAGCATTTTATGACTTTTGCCAAACTTCATTTCTCCTCAAGCTTCAGGCAGAAATTGATGGATTGGATGAATTTTGCTCAATCTCAAATTTTATCTCCTCAGGTGAGAGGACAGAATACAGACACTTGGATAATGTAAGAATGTGCACTGAAGTTTACATAAAGTTAACTTCCCATCCCCTCTTCTTCTGCCCTAATTTCTGATCAAATCTGAGATATTTAAAATAGAAAAAAGATGAACTTTTAAGTACACTAAAACAATAATGCACATGTGTAAAAAGATAATAATCTGAGACGCAATCTGCAACCTCAAAGGAATTAAGTTGTTACAGAAAATAACTATAAGGTTATCAGCATACAAACACTTGCACCATTGTCCAATAACAGATAGTGTAATTTTGATAATAATGTTGAAGTAAAAAACAGCACTTGAACTCATCCCTGACTTGGAAAATGATCTTTATAGGAATGGAAATCTTGTACTCAATTTAAAATGCAGTATAATACTAACAAACACTGCTGTAATACAAGTCACTAGTCAACTTGTAGCCATATATCCCTCTTCCATCTTTCTTTCAATTACTGTTGAAGGAAATAATTTTGATGTAGCTTAACTGCTAGACCAGGGCTAGACTCTGAATTTATTTCCCAGCTACATACTTGAATTTTGATGTATTACTTAATTCTTCACTATCTTGTAAAGGTAACACTTCTTTACCCAAAGTAGCTGTTGAGAATAGCCTCATAGTTCTGAGAGCACCTTATAATGGATACCAGTCATAAAGCAGCCTGAATCTTGCTGCTTATCTCAGCTAAAAATTGAGTTAACTCACTCTATTGTTTTAACAAAAATCATTCTGTTTTCTACATATCCTGAAGAAAAGCATGAGGTTTAAAAGTTACTTCCACTGCTTCAAAAAGTAAAATACTTCATTGTATCATTAATTACGTTCATCAATATTGCAAATGCTAGGTATCTGAATAGTTGACCAGTTTTATTCCTGTCATACATTATAAAATTTTCAGAATAAGATTCCAGAAATAATCTTCTCATTTCCTTCAAGTGACATGTTACAAAGTATGTCCTATTCAAACTAAATTGAACTTACTCTCAGACTGAAATGCTAGTCACTTCAACTTATTTCAGCATGGGCCGAAACTGAAAAGTATAGTCCAACTACGTTTTCTACCCTCATCCTTGCACTGCCACTGGCATCTGCACAGCTTAATGGTGAGGCCAAAACTTATCTAAATGAAGTTTCTGCCAAGGGTTGTTTTTAACAAGAAAGACCAACTCCTACTTCAGCTCAGAGGTCAACTATACAAACAGAAAACCATGGCACAAAACGGCACTAGAGATCAGGAGTCCATCTTTTTGCTGTAAGCTTGAACTTTTATCAGTTTGAAAAGAAATCATGAAACTGTATTCGGAATTGTGAATTAGAAGTTGGGCATTCCTCATTGTGTTATACTTATTTTTTGTGTTAGACATGTAAATCACTAAAGCTGAGATACAGAACAAAAGCTCAAGTATGCACACAGAAAATAAACTGAATTATTTTTGGCTTTCCACAACTTTTACCATGTGTGAACACCAGCAACGATTAGTTAACTTAGTCACTTTGAAGAGCAGAGTGGTCACTTTTGGCTTTCAAATAGAAATGTTTAACACACAATTTTAACAACTCTGAGAAAACTGACAAAAAATAAGATACTAGGTAATAGGTAATATAGCAGGTAACAACAAGTACACGCAAGTGTGCTGGATTCTAAGAGTCAATCCAACACTTTTAGCTTTTTGCTCCTTGGTGAAAGGCCAGCTGAGTAAACTAGGTTGATAAGGTAAAAAAATTTGTAAAGACACTTTCTACAGTGAACTATGCCTCATTAATATGAGAAGAGGATACATGAAATGTTAAAAAAAAGATGTCATTGCTAGAAATTGTGAATTAGTGTGCTGTGTAAAAAATACAGTTCAAAACATACATTAATGTGTCAAAACCCTCAATAATTCAAATGTAAATAAGTAACAAGAACCTATTTAAAGGGCAGTAGTGCCATCTTGTGTTTAAAGAAAAAAGTGCCTAAAGATGCAATAAGAAAACAGGAATATTTCAGCAGCTAAGTCATTTTTAACTAACATTACTTAGTATTAAAAAAAGGAAACACAGCTTGTCTTCATGTTTGGCTTATGGTATTCTTGGAATATTCAGTTTTTCTGTGCCTTAAATGAAAACCAGCAACATGCTAGACAACTTCTACAACATAAAAGACATACATCAGAGAAACAGAAGAGATTGGATGGAGATCTACAGTGAGAGCACTCAATGTTAGCCTTTTTACTCCAGTCATACAACAGGGAAAAGGTGATGGTAACTGCTCATGCTGGGTGTGGCTGACCTCGAGCAATAGCTGCCATATCAGAATTTAATACCTCTCTTGGTGGTGGTGGTGGTTCCTGCAGCATTTACAGCCAAGACTACCCTTTTGCAGCTGATGTGAGACAAGGAGACAGAGACCAGGGAGCTGTTTTGCTCCTCCTGACATCCTGCTGCTCAAGGCAACAATGACTATTTTGCCTGTGTTTAGACCTACCTTTAATACTCCTCTAAATTAGAAAACCTCGAGTCATACAGAGGCACACATACATTTCTTCTGTTGCTAACATATGATTAAATAAGTATTATATAAAAATATGACATTGGAGAACTGTCCAAAAGCAACGTTCAGGATTCTTGGAGATTTCTCATAGGTGAGGTTTGAGGGTGCAGGTGTTAAAATATGAGAAGTTATTTTGGCATAGCGTGTTATACTTCAGCATTGTGGACTCAATCAACTCAATGAAGAAAACCTGAAGGCTGAGACATAACTGAACTCTCAATAGGAAGCTGTGGCTTAAAAGTAACATTTACATTTTATTTGCAGTGGGTTATCCTGAGCTGATGCTTTACAATGTATAGCACATCAGTTTGAAAGCTATAGAGTGATTTCTCATCCATTCCCTATTTAAGGAAATAGGCTAAACTCTTAAAAAAAATTCTAAAGATTATAAAGGAGACAAGTGTCTTGGTGTTTTGACCGTCAAGAAAAAAGTTTACATAAAGTCTATTTCATTTAACATTTCATGAGAACTAAGCAGCTTAAAATGTGAGACATACCAAAGTTTCCAAATTATTTTACATTTGACAATGATACAAGTGATTTACATTATCGATTTCAAGATGCTTAAAGAATATTGCACTAATGACAGTATAATAGAGAAACGGATTATCAATGCTGAAATCTCTAAATGTGATCTAAGAATAATAAAACCATTTTACAAGAGAATGTCAGAAAAGATGTACTTGATATATCCAAAACTTGATCAAAGTATTGAAAAACACATTGAAAGAAACAGTCTTACTCTGGTATTAGGGTAAATGAGAACTTATCATAAGCTTCTTAAGATCTGATTCCATGAATCCAGCATTAACAGTTAATGACTTTAGGACTGTTTGAAAAATTTAGGGGCATACTTGAAATGTAACAAATGTGAGAAACCCTATGTCAATAGTATTAGCAGGGATTACAGAACTTTGGAACTACATCTACTCTACTTGGATCTGCCTACTACTATTGTCTGTAAATGTTTTAAAATTTATAAGCTCCAGAAAATAAATAAAACCAATTTTCCTGAGAAGTATTTGACATGTAGCACACCGGAACAGTCGTGAAGGTGTCGGAGTCTACAATATTTTTCATGCACCTTTGCTAAAGCTTCTTCCAGTAATGGATGTTACAATACCTCTTAACTTCTGACCTGATTTGTAGCTATATATTTAACTGCATATATCACTTCATGCCAAATAATTAACTGACCAAAGCATGAGGAAAGTAGCTTAAGATTTTGTTTCCACTGAAGCTGGATCACAACACTTTTCTATAAGAATGAGATGGCCTTAGAAATTAAATTATTCCCACCAATTCCCCTTCCTGCAAGAAGTTCACCTTCATTTGGTAAACTTATGTGTACTACTTCACAGCACATTATTTATACTTCCAAATATTTGCCATTCCAAGGAGAAATGGCTGCTTTTAATAACAGCCACAGTATTTTCTATAATTTCTAGAAATGGTTCGTTTCTAGATATAGTTTCTCCATATATCCAAGGTAAGTGCAACTTTTCCAAAGTTCACCTCTGATGCAAATAAAAGGGAAATGTGACCCAAAAGCAACATATTCACAACAGGTCTTTAACTTGAGTTACTATACACTCTTTGGCACAGAATATTCATAATTTAGAAAACAACAGAAGACCAAGTGATCTTAACAGTGTATATATAACAAAGCTGAAGTGTTGGTATATTAAACTTTTACATTTTGTTTTATTTATGCTATTGTTGCAGTCTTGCATGGTTTTTGACCCTTTAATGAAGCAAGGATCCTCATCTGATACTGTCACTTATGATAGGAATCTGTAGAAATGAAGATGTCTCTACATAAACTGATTAAATTGGCAATGGCTTCATGTTTCTAAATGCATGTGTATCATATTACCACCTTACAGTCCTATCACTGAAATTAAATTACTTCTCACTTCCCAAGCAGTATTCCCTTACTCACTGTTCCCATGTGACAAAAACCGTAGCAGTGATACTGATAGCAGATTAAATTATGTAAACAATTCTTGTTCTGTTTTGAAATCCATTTAACAAGGTTACATTTCACACATTGACAAAGAATGGAAAGAACTTGAACTGACTGCACTATATGCCAGTGCAAAGAGCTACAACCACACCACATACATCAAGCTCATCCATGTGAACATAGTTGATGATAAACTATTTGTTTCATACAGCGTGGTGAAGTTAATGACAGTAAGCAACACTCACATTTTACAAAACTCATTGTCCATTCACATTCAGGTGGCAATTCAGTTTAAAACAATGAAATGCAAAACCATGCAACTATTAACACCAAAGAAGAGGTGTTTTACTTATGTGGAAGAGCTTAGAACGTAAGTTCAGGAAGAGCCATGCAGAGTAAACGTGCCAGATAAGGTACAGAAAACATGGCAGTGAAAAAAAATCATTCAGTGCACAGCAACGAACCACTCAAAACTCTTATAGAACACAGATGAAATCACAGACAAAATAATTAAGTTTCTTTAAACTTCCAATAAACTGTGCAAGTTACACAAATCACAGTATAGGCTGACTGGCAAATGCTTATGAATTACATGTCAAATGCATTATTGTCCCAATTAACTCTGTTTAACTTACACTCTGAAGAATGCATTACTTGTAAATAAATGTTTTGCTTTTTTAGCTGTGAAAGACATCCACAATACTTTCAGTTGAAAGGCTTCAAGCTGAAACAGATATCAGTAGTTCTACAGAATTGTCATTAGCAAGTTTTAGTAATATTGTAACATCAGTCTTTGAAAAAAGTGAAAAAATAATAAAGTCACACTTAAACATACTACATTTGTTGCACAAGATGGGCTGTCTTAAGTTCTGAAGAGACTGCTTTGGCACAAAACATTACCTCATCAACAGGCACTGATATAACATGCACAAGATAAAGTGTTGTTCTTCTTGTGAGAAGAACTAAACATAAGTTTCCAGTTAGCTTGAATTTTCTTAAAGAGAACATATTAATCAATAATCATACAAATGGTACCTTTTTAAAATTACAGATTAATTGACATATTACTGACAGCCATTTGCTTTCTTGACCAATATTCAGGCTTCCAATGTCTCAGAACTCACCTTCCCTAACATTTCTGTTATCACTGCAACGAGGGCTCAATATAGTCCTGAGCAAAGGGCATATTCTTGCCCTTCCTCATTCTGAGCCTCAGATCGCAAAGACAACTTCATCATACTCATATTTATCTCACTGAATTCTGAATGCTTCTTCTTCTCAGTTACTGAATTATGATGAAAGGGTTTAATGGTTTAGGATAAAAGTTAAATTGCCAAACAGCAGATCAAAGAGAGACTACAGGAAACAAAATCTTTTTCTCCCTAGCCTTAATCTATGATTCAACACATCCTATGAAATAGTACTTTAGCAAACAGTTTGTGACTGAAGAGATAAAATGAAATCCTCCTACAATAACATACTAATGCCCTAAATGAAAACAAAATGAACCATTAACACAGTGATTCTGAAATGAAAATAACCATATCCCAGGTAAGGAAGAAATGTCCCTTTCCCAAAATTAAATCACACAGCCTCTTGCCTTCATTTATTTAATGACCCAGTTGTCAGAAGCAGAGTTAATTTCCATTCCAATCATAAAAGGGTTCAATCTATGTGCATACAACATATTCCAAGTCAGTTTTGTCACCAAATTGTTAAAGACACAAGTACGGAGCTAGTAGGGTACTGTGTCACTGTTGGATGCAGAAAAGTAAATACAGTTGTGAAACAGTAATGGAGTGTACTTATATAGATATACAACCAAATCCTTTTCCACATGATTAAGTGAAAAGATGATAACTCTATCTTGACCACAGTCATATAGAAATCTGACCATATAGCTATGAATGCAACATAAAAACATATTAAATCAGCCAGATGTTCTCAGAGTTAACCTTTGCAAAAGTAGTGGAATAATGTTGTGACTTGCACAGACTGAACTCTTAGTACAGATTAGAATTTCACCCATCCAGAAAACAGAGGTGCAATTATAAAATCAGAGAATTTAAACCATCAATATCCTTGATTTTTTTAAAAAATTACTGTACCCAGTGTATTTAGTACAGAAGCAGCCCACAGAATTACCAATTAGCATAAAGAATGAAAAATTAATAATGTAATGCATTGAAATTTGAATTTTATTTTGTTTTTTGCTGCTGTGTTAGTGCTGCATAGAGTTAGGTACTGCATTAGGAACAGAGCAGAATTTTTCTAGTTCCTACCTATGTCATTGGCTACCATCTTGGAAAACTTTCTGCTCTTGGTCTTCACTGTAAATAATATTTTAATAAAAAAGATCAATCTAAGTGTATCATAGGATGAACTGAAGAAAAAAATAAGACTATAGAAAAGAAAAATACTGTACCCTTTTCTATAAAATTATTCATTTTCTGATCATCATCAGAATTGTTTGGTGAACCAGAACCTATGAGTGAAGACAGAATGAAATGGATATACAAACATATATCTTTGACACAAAACCCATTTACTAACACAAGCTTTGAGTTTAAGGAAGATACAAAGATGTATTAAAATATCAAATACTGACACTGGCATTCCCTGTACCTGTACTAGATACTATAAAGTTCAAATTATTTCAGTATGACAGGAATCATGCCATACTGAGATTAATCACACAAATTATAGTGCACAGTAACAACTTTACACAGGGCAGCAAGATTATTGCTAGAAGTACTTCCCTCATTGAATAAAATATTTACATTGAATAACTAGACTGCTGTTCTAATCATGGTTCCAGACACAAAGATTAACCTAAATTATGATTCACAGAACACACCTGTAACAACAAACTCAGGTTTTGAAAACTGTTTTTTTTCCAATACAGTAAGTCACTGTAGGGCCACAGTTCTGCAACTATTTGGCAGACAACTCAGGGCCAATGCTGCCGTCTGGGATTTTTCTGAATCTTTAATACAGAAAAAATGGTGGTTGCTATAGGCCACAACTTGAGGCTTATCATTATAATGAAATTAAAACATAGCTCAATTTTAAAAACCCAAATTTAATTGGATATTATATTGCAGAGGTGTAAAATAAAAACAGAACATGAACATTTTGACACTCATGAACACAAAAACTTGACATTTACAATGCTATACAATGTTTTACAGGTCAGATAAACACCCCAGAGCCTAAGCTTATTATCATTTCACTTCTGTAGAAAAACCATGAGATAGTTATTTTTTTCTCTTGCAGTTTCACAGTATTTCTATAGTTCTGTGTTCTTAAAACTGTAGGATACTCTCTTAACTTGCATAGGCAGGCAGTCCCTTTCATAGTCCTCTCAACTGTATAACCACCCACTGGAGGAAGTCTAATAGAAGTTAGCTTCCGCTTCTCTTGGCTTGGGCATGGAAAGGTGGAAGAGGTGGAAGATTTAGATCACTCGAGTAAACACAGACTTCAGCCCAAACATTGGCTAGTCTGTTTTACAGATCATATTGTCAAAGCCAATAACAAGCTCAATTGCCAATTCCATCCTCCAATCTTAAAGCTAGTAACAAGCGCACTTTTTGTGCTAGCATACTTTTTTCTTAACTAGAGAGCCTTTATACTGGAAAAAGTTCATTTAAATCTGGCCTCTGTCTTGCATCTGAAGCCCACCAATACCACACAGCTGATGTCTCCACAATGGCATCTCATCTCTCTGAAAACAAATGCCATTTAGCCTCGTTCCAGTCTTGTGCTCTTGCCCAGAAAAAGATGTAAAACTTAAAGCAAACCTAAGGAACTGCATCTCTTTTCTCTTCACAAACATTACCAAATGATTTCCATATCACAGAGGTGCCTCCCTCCAAGTATTGTTCTCAAAGGAAAACTTGAGAAGCCTGCCATGAACCATATCTCATTCACTGAGAGATGGGAGGAGAGGACAGAACTGAGGGAAGCAAGGCACAGTCCAACCTTGCTACTTCAAGATTATATTTTATAGGGGAATGCAGCAGCATCTTTTCCTCTCCATCTTTTGTGAATTCGCTGGTTTTTGGTACTTACTTCTCTTCAGTATTGTGTATCTACCGAAGACATTATATACTCTTGTCACAGAATACTCAGTTCTCCAAACTTCTAGCTTTTATTCTACTATGAACTAACTTCAAAATAGTCTTCTTAGATAGTCAACTCATAAATTGGAGATTGATTTCTGCCTTTGCAGGATTAGGCATTTCCCCTAATTCTGTTTCTCTTCAGAACATTTGAATCCATCTATTCTAAGTTGCCTTATTTTTTGATCCTCTTAAAGAAATATCCAAATCACATTAATTTTTAACCTACTTCAGCTAACACAACTCAGACAGAAGAGGGAGGGAGGGGAGGCAAATTGTTAAAGTTAAGATTTTTTCATTTAAACCTTGGTTTTCATTTTTGAGCTTGCTTTCATTGCATTGTTAGTAGAAACAGTGAATTAAGTTTTACTCTACTTCAACTCCAATTAATGAAAGAAACCCTCTAATTTAAATTACATAGTGTTTTAAGTTTCCATGCTACCAGTTGGAAGTGGTTTGATATTTAAGTGATGCTGAAGCAAGGGGAATAAAAAGATACATTATGGGTTACAACTCATTAGCTGTTCATTGTACAAATTTTATAGCAGTCTATCAGAAACCAGACTTAGCCTGGAGTTAAGTGGGTCAAATTCAAATACCTTAGTAAGAATCATCAGCCTCCTTAATCTTGACAGAGAAAGTGATTTACTGCAACTGTAGCACTGCACAGCAAGCTGTTTACAGGCATTGGTCTTGATATTTAAAAATGAAATAGGAAAGATGCACTTTATTCTAAACACCACAAAAAATGCTTGCATTAAAGATGATGAAGTTGATAACTTCAGCATGCCAATACTTAGCATCGCACAGGTTTGTCATGAAATCACATCTTTGTTTAAGAATTTCCGGACAAGTTTTGCTTTAATTGTAAATCAATCTAATTTAGCAAAAAAGAAAATGACATCGACTGACCTAGATGAGAGTTTTGTACAATTTAAAATTAACACCAGAAGGCAGCAATTCTCAAGTCATAAATTAAAATTTATGTTAAAATTTCTACTAGAGCTATAAACAAGATATCTTGTTTACTTATGTTTTCAACTTGGCTTTGAAAGATACACGCTACAACAGAAAAGGAATCTATCTTTAGATTCCTGTATTACGGTTTTGCACCACACTTGTAAAGAGTGTACTTGAGTAAACCTGCAATTTTGTTGTTTATTCAAACTTTGAGTACAGCTTTGAATGAAATAAGGTGACATATTTTAAAAGTTTTCTCAGAGTAATGGCAAAGTGACAAATTTTTAGCTACTACATTAAATATTCATCTCGAATACTACATATTGATATGCTCTAGTATTTACACAGCTATAGCCTAAACTAGCCAATATTAAACAAAACACTAAGTAGTGTTACATATTGCTGAAGCTTTCATGTAAAACATTCACATATAGTAGTGGCAACTAAAAAACAAGGAGGGAGGCAGTGTTAAGGAGGGAACTCCTACTTTGTAAGGATGCTAGTTTCTTAAGATGTTCGATTCCAAAGAAAAATAGTAATTTACCACTTACGAGGAAGCAGAAGTAAGCTAGCTCTTTTTACAGAAAAAATCTACCACTTTTGAGGACTCTGAAACACAATCACATGAACTATTACAGGAATTTATGCATCTCATCAATGTTTCAAAATTCCATTGGGTAGAATGTTCCCTGAAGCATAAATGTTTCAGATTATATCTCTCTCCACTCAGCATTATGACGTATTCCTTTTGCATCTCTTAAAGCAGGCTTATTTTAAAAATGCAGTTGTGCAAAACAGCAAAATTTACGAAAGATCCAACAGTTTGTGAGAAGACAACAGGTTTATATAATGACTTAACTAGTGAATGGTGACTTAAAGCATGCCATCTTCTGTGCAAATAAGAAGCTGAAGATCAGAGAAAATTATGATTACCTGAAGTGGGGGATTTGCAGCGATCTTCTGGCACCACTGTACCTTCGTTAATATCACAAAGACCTGCTGGAACACAACAACAGTGCATAATAAATACACCTGCTTTTTTATCCTTTCTTGAACTGCAGTTAGGAACTTCATTTCTTATTAGCCACAAACCAGCCAGTTGTGAATTTCTGTTTTTTGTTTGTTTGGGTTTTTTTGTTTTGTTTTTGTTTAAATTTGGACATTACCCACAGTGACTGTAAAGTCAGTTACTTCTACTGAAGTTCTTTTAAAAATACACTTCCTCGTTAAGTTTCAGTGAAAACCATCACATTTTCAGCAAGACAAACTTATCAGAACAGTTAATTATTTACATGCTATACATTTCTATTAAGTACAAATATAATTTCTGTTTTGAAAACATCCTAGACTTATATTAAATAAAATTGCAAAAGAAAGTCAGATGAAAGAGGATCTTGAAGATTACAACCATGTGTGCAGCATGATGTGTGAAACTACAGTGCCTTTTTTCAAAATATCTTCCCACTGTTATAGTGATAACACTTTGTATTTGCTGTTCCATTGCCAAGTTTATTTTCCAGCAAAACTCCTTACTGATGTCAATTACAGAATTTAGGTTCTAGGATGCATACAAGAGTGTTCTTCCTTGTATGGAGGAATTTCACTGAATTCTTACATCATCAAATCTGATCATTTGAATAACTGCAGTAGGCTATTACCTAAAAGCTCGATTCCACTGAAGGAAATAAAGTATTAGGAGTCCACAATCAGATGCTAAAGATGGAATTTGCTTCATAAGGGTGCTAAATGTCATTCCACAGCACTAACTAGAAGTATACATGGAATGTTTCTATTTTGCCTTTTTGACAAGAAATTGTTGACAAGACTGCCCACGATTACGAAAAGTGAGTTTTATTGATATTTTAAGACTAGTAATGCATCTTTAGGTTTATATAATAAAGTTTTCCATCAGACATTTCATGATGTGATAGTAATGAAAGTAAGTATGTAATACTTAACAGTAATAGTTAAGAAATATTTGTCAAAATGAAAGGCACGCACACAAATATTTCAAATGGTCAAAAAGCGTGAGAGGTGTATAATGGTAATGGCTAAGGGAAGGGCTTGCACACACAAAGCCTGTCTATACAGTTTTATTCTACACATTCACTAGTGCATCTGTACATAACTGTTAACATATAACAAAAAAATGGGAACAGCACTACATTTTTATCAAAGTTTTAGAATTTTCCAATACTAAAATAGAAGTTAATAATTTAAAAGAAAAAAGGTTCTTCTGAAATACCATATAAATGTGGAACACACAAAAAGTATGTTGCATTCACACACAGTTTCATTTATGCATAACAGTCTCCAAGATTGCTAAGAGTGTGTACAGCTCAAACCTCAAAACTTAGTGACCAGGATTGATATGAAATTGTCAAATGACCCAAAGGTTTGCTCAAGCCTACACTTAACAACAGTCCAGGAACTGATTTCATTTCTAAAATGTATGGTGAAATCCCATGTAGAAGCTATAGTTTTCTACTACACAGGAGAAAGAAAAAAGCTAGCCATTTATTTATTTATCTATCAGTAAATTAACGAGCACTATGGGAGAATCAGGGTACATATTCTCTAACAAAGTATAATTTGACCTCTGAAAGAACCAGTGCTTTAAACACGCATGAGAGTGTTTTGTACTAGACAGGGCTGTGTAAAAAGATTTTTCAAAAATCCAGATGTTGCTCTCCCAACAAGCAATACAAGTTTTAGACATCAGCAGTGCTTGGAAGACAAACCTGTATTGTGCTTTTAGAAAAAGTTGTGTTTCTAGATCATGCTCCTTCCAGAGCCAAACTGTACAAATCCAAAAATGCAGTTCAGGAACTTAATTTCCCCTTTCCTCTAAATATTTTAATTCTTTATCTTGATAGCAAGAGTTTAACTTCTCACACTAGTTTTCCTATGAAAAGTGGAATCCTGCACTGACAGGAACAGTCTTTAGCCAAGAATGAAGTCACACACCTCCATGCTTGATTTCTTTGTAAGAAGTCTTGAGGCTACAATCTGATTAATACACATCTTAACAAGTAACACATATCAACTGATCTAACAGAAAACCCCCTCATCATAAACCTGTACACTCACCTTATGTATTAAGTAAAATTTATCCCACTAAGAAGCAAGTGGGCATTATGACAATCATTATGGCATGTAAACCTTGGAAATCTAAGCATAGCCATCACTGCTCTTATTTAAGAGAGAAAAGGGGGAACAGGAATAGATAAAAAGTAATTTATCTATGACTGTATTAGTAATTAAACTAAGCAGAGAATAACAAGAATGATCTGAGATACGTCTGAACTATGAGGGTCTGTCCATGACCAATGAAAAGAAGTAACTGATGTAACAATTATTATGGCTGATCATCTTAAAACTTCTGTCAGGTACCCTGACAGAAGCAGTGTACGCACTGGCAGTAAGACAGCTCTCCTGGAAAAGTTCTCTGGTCTCATGTTTACAGCACATGTGCAAATTGTTACAGATTACAAAAGCAATTTGGTCCAAGATTTTCCATTCCAGAACTGCAACGACTACAACCTGACTAGAACACAGAGATAGGGAAAAGTGACCTTCTACTAAGCTTTTAGCTTATCTCTCTGAACTATAGCAGTAAAAAACTTGAAAAATCCAAACATTAATTAAAAAAATCAAATAGTGTCATTAAAGACATAAAAATTACTATGTTGCATTAAAAACTCCATAGAATACATCTGAATTTAACCGATATATAAAGTTTCATGACACATTTGTCAGTTTTTCATATAAGCTTTAGACAGATTTAAGCCTCTACTGCATATAGAGTTTTCATCACACTATAAAGCTTTACCTTATACACATTGTGGCTTTTGGTGCATGGCAAAGTTGTTTCCCCCTTCCCCCCACTATTATGACCTGAAGTCAAAGGCTGACCTTTTTTATTCATCCTCGATAAGCACCTGATGACACTGTCTAGAAGGCCTTCACAAAACACGTATACTGCATGCTTCACAAACTATAAACTGCCACCCAAAACATGTGAGTAATATACCTGGTATGAATCACTGATAAATTCCAAAACACGATCCCAACTGGGAGCTTGTATCTGTTGAGTTAGCCTGAAATGACAGTTTACAGTCTAGCTAGTGTAGAGAGCCTTGGCTCTAAATAGATGCTGCTTTAAGACAGGAATCTGAATTTCTTTTCTAAGTAGAAAAAATAAGATGACAGAAACATACATCATATTCTTGCAACACAAGCGAAGGGAAAATCTCGCATTTTTTAAAAAGTCTTTTAAATTTTCAATTGGTTGACCCAGGACATGCCATTTACTAAATTATAAGTACATAAGCAGATATTGATGATCTATTAAATAGACAATTTTATTCTGGAAAGTACAGAATAGGAGGGTTCTTAATGACAAAGGATCAATTCTTGCTGTGTTTTTTGGGCAAAACCTCTGGAAATGGTTGAATAACAGTGTACTATGTTTTCCCACTCCCCTGTATATTGAAGTAATACTTGGTTCTGACAGTCTTGGGATACAATGTACAATAACAATATGCTGCTCTGTTGCACGCTGTCTGAACCTGAACTTAATGTAACTAATGTGACGATGAACTTATCTGAATAGGCCAGTATGGGGTTTTTTGGGGGTTGGTTTGTTTGTTTTTTAAGTAAGTTGTGGTTATTTCAAAGAGAATGAGCAATATACTCACTTTCTCTAAAACAACCACATTAACACAAACACTTTTTCTAGGAAGATTTAGAAACTGAAGAGTTATTAGAGCTGTACAGTAGTTGAAAATATTTCATTCACAGAAAAATAAATTTGGAAGTACTAAAATGCAAGTGTTTTAAGGATAAAGAATTCAATGAAGGCATATATTTCAAAACAAAACCAAGGAAGCTTAAGTTCCTTGCGTCTTTGAAGATGCTAAACGCAGAAATTAATGTTCAGGAAAGGGAGAATGCAAGATCCAAAAGTGTTCTGACTAACTCTTACAGTCACAATCCTGTGAATACAGCAAAGGATAGTTCTTTAATGTAATAGACTTATTTGTAGAAATTTACACCACAATAACGCTGTGAAGTCTGAGCAACACACACATTGAAAGAACTACATTTAATAATGAGAAATATTAAATGATACCTCTAGAGAAATTATTTTCAGTTTTTAAGAAGACTGTAGCTCCAGCTAATCAAGATATCGTGAGGATCGTGGAAGGAAAGAGAATTATTTACGTGGTCAAGAAACCCTAAATTAAGTAGCCCAGGTAAATTCAGCTTTACAATTATTGGCTTCAGAAACCAGTTTTGGGATTTCTGCCCATCTTTTGCTTCCCTTCACAATAATAAATCAGTGGCAGATCCTAGTTTTCAGTGCTGTATCACCTTAAGGTAGAAGCATTTATTTTATGCCTAGCTCCCTTTCTCCCTTGGCAGCAGAGGATGGAAGACTATACAGAAAGCAATATATGGCTATTGAGCCTCCCCTTCTATGAAGCATTTTTTTTTGGGGGGGGGTGGGGGTGCAGGAGGGAAATAGCAGAACCATCAGAATCAGACCACAGGCTCAAGTATTTTTATTTTTTTTTTCTTTTTAATTCCAGGTCATTCTTCCCTTAGCTTAGTTTTATCCTACTTTCCTTCATCAAAAAATGGGACGAGATTACCCATCTCTGCCCAAAGGCTGGAGAGAATTGGTATCCTAGGGAAAGGAATAATATTATGCTTTTAAAAATCAGATTTACACTCTCCAAATTCTTGGATGCTGTGAATAATAGAATAAGTCAGAGAAGACCACAGGTTCTGATGGGCTACCTTGCATAGGCACCTGAACTTCAAAACTGCTTCGAAACCCCACAGGGCTATGCAATACAGACACTTTCACTCTTAATCCCTACAAACAATATCTCTGTAGAAGTAAATTTTCATTTGTAATAGATAAATCGTTGTCATTTGCAATATTAAATATTCATATTATTACTATTAATAATCTACCAGTAGAGTTCTGAAGCTTTTTCTGCCAGAAAGGGGACCAAGCAAGGGAAGTTTCTAGCCTCGGATATCAAAAGAACACTAAGTGCGGTGAGTAAGATCTCAGGTCTGTAGACATCAGTAACTTCTGAGACAGGATCTCCTTTTGATTTTGATATTTATTTATTTAAAAGCACAAAATGCAGAGACTATTATGATTGCTTTTTCCCTTCATGTTCCTTTTAAAGATGCCATGAACAAGAAACATGAGATGCGTGATGGATTAAAATTAGTTTCTAAAAGTAAAACATTTACTTAAAATGGAATAACAAAAATATTTATGGTGAGTGAACAAGTCAAAAAATCAAATTCAGATGTTCAAAAATATTTTATTGCCATGAGATGACTTACTTATATAAGAGGTGCGAAGCTTTTTCACAGACTCTGAATATAAGTTAGAAAGGCCGCACATGCAAGAAGCCACAGTCAGCATACCTTTATGAAGCAATGAGAAAAGGAAAGACGGAGACACCAACAGTACATTTGAGGCAGAAGAGTCAGCAGAATAATTTGTATAACCAGGTTTATAAAGTGCTCTGGCCATGCAGATCGTTAGTATTAATATGTAAGATGAAAAAAATATATGATTTCATGTAACAGTAATATTCATGAGCAGAAAGGACTTCATTCATGAATTTAGAGACACAGTTGTAACTCAGAGCCAATAAAATAACAAAAGCCAAGAAAACAAAGCAAGTAATGTTTAACCAAAAGGCAGTTCATAGTCTAAATGCATGAAACAGAATTTAAGCTCTTTATTCCCAAGAGGAATTAACACAGTCAACAAGTAAAGTTATTTTTTTCTCTCTTAAAATGTAATTTTTTAAATGAAATTTTTATTTGTTAGAAGAAAATATTTTATCTGACAGAATACCAACTGTGTATGCTTGGCTCTACATTAACGATTTTTAAACCAGTTTCCTCAGTTGAAATAAGCTGACTGGTGCTAACTGGCTCCTTCTGAAACCAATGTTTTATTAAAATACATCTTAGAGCATCTATTTTAATTTGAATAAAATATTACCTAAAGAACTTACCTGGACTTTAGCCTGGATCTCTTAAAATAAAGCAACCAACACTAGAGTATGAAGAAGTTTTTTTTTTTTAAAAAAAAGCTTGTCATTTTGACTGAAGAAGTCACTTGCCTCCTCAGCTGTAAAGGAAAACCCTTCAGCATATTTTTAAATCAAAGCTCTTTTTTCCAAAAAGCTTCATTTAAACAGTTTGCATTTGGACGTTTATTTGGTTCATTTAAATCAAAGGCTTCCTCTCAAGCATAACGTAACAGTATACACAACATAATGTGCTTCAGCTTATCAGGGACATTTCCAGTCAAAGTTTAAAATAGGAAGCCAAAAGATCCCAGCAGATACACTGGCCATCTGCAAACATTAATGGGTTTACAGAAGCTTCTGATATGGGTACTGGGTCTACCAGAAATACCAGGATACTTCTACTTCTTCATACTGTGTTATTAAGTTAAAATCTTGTAAACTGTATAAAGCCATCGCACTGTTATTCAGACAGATAATGTTTTTCCATCTGCTTTGTCTTAAAACATACATTACACTGAAAAATAAGTAATGATATGAAGCATCAGTAGATTCCCCTAAGCAACAGTTTTGAAGGAAACATGAAATAAAAAACCTGCAATAGTGACATTAGGGACAGATTGAGAAGAAAAGTTGAAATCACAATGGAGAAAAGTGTGCTTGTATTCAAATAATATACATAAATAGCCCAGATAAACTAACAAGAAAGGCACAGTTAGTTAAAACAAGTTTTGGGTTACTCACCTCCAGACGGCTGTCGAGTTTTTCGAGGAGATCGTGGCTCCCTGCGATAAGGATCATTGGAGCCGTACAGTTCAATAGTGCCTAGATTCAAGAGCACTGTCTTCTGGAGGTAATCAACCATGGCAATACCATTACAGTTTCCAAAAACTACTCTGGAAAAAGGAAAGATAGTGCTAATCAAATGTTGGTTAAGTTTTATGTTGGTATTTGTTGCTGTCCAGCATTTTAAGGCTTCCTAATTTTTATGAACTACTCTAAATTATGCATATTTATAAATTACTATTTTAGAATGCAGCATTGCTTAATTGTTCTCTTGTAAAAACACATGCCACTGAGTAGAACAGACCAGTCACTGTAAGTTCCAACCTATCTGACAGAGTTTTAAATGACACTTACTCTTGCCTGTACAGTGCCAAGTGAGGAAGAGTGATGCTGATTTGTTTCTGGTGTCAGCATCATCAGGATCTGCCATGATCCAAAAGGAATTATCTTTTAAGCACAGGAGACTGTTTCTCTTGTGTTTCTGTGCAGCTCATGTGAACACACATGGACACTTCATTTTTCATAGGTAGTTTTAATCCACTTTAACAAAATAATGGGAAAATTGTGTAGAATATACTTACAGGCCGTACGCCGAGTTAACTGCTAAGCTGGTTATCTGTTGAGGAGGTTCTCCACTCACCCACACTAGCTGGATAACTAGCTCAGTTTGGTAGCCTGGAGACTGCTTGAGAGGAGAATTTTTAACTCTGCAAAGTAAACAAAACATGGTATCTTTTTATGACTCTCAATTTTTTTACCCTCATGGGCTCAGAATTCAATAAATTCTACATACTTGACTTTAGAGTTGAAAAACTGCAAAAAAATCAACACAAACACACAAAAGTAACCAGAAAAAAAACATATTGGAACTGGCCATTTACTTCTTTAAAGGCCCTTTTGATTCATTATCTAACTGAAAATTAATTGAGCAATGACCACAAATACTTCAATTCTCCCCTCCTCATAGCAAAGCATAACAGCATCACCATTCTTTTCAGAGTTCCCAAAAGAACTCTGATTTAGAGAATGGATGGGGGTGAAGAGTGCACATGGAAGAAGCATACTGAAAAGGGAAACTGATGCACAATGTATTGAGACAAGTGTAAACAAAAAGCTGATGACATGCTAGGAAAAAATCAAAAGCAAGATAAATTATTATAATGATAGACCAGTGGTATTGAATGAATCTGGGAATGGGGGAATTGAAGCTCCTGGAAAGATTTTGTTTGCATGCTGATGAGTAAACTTAAATATCCTGCAGAAAGGATTAGGTCTATCATCTTTTAAGGTGAAAAAAGTTACATAGAACATATGTTCCTCCAGTCCCTGAATTCTTCTTATTTTACACATTAGTTCTCATTAATGCATATTTCATTTTGCCAATATTTTGCAAGAATTAATGATTTTCCAGTTTTTCTACTCCATCCAGTTTCTTTTAGAAAGACTTCCGCAACTCAGTACAACCAGTAAGATATGAAAACTCCCACCCAGAGAAAATACCACTCTCAGAATTAGTCATTGTCTAAATGGATGCACTCAAAGAATTAAAATTCACATTTCAGAGAACAGAAAGTACATACATAACTTATAAAATCTGAAAATGAAGTTCAATGCACATTCTGTAAGGAAAAGGTGATGGTCCAGAGGCCTCAATCATAGAATGTTGTGAGTTGGAAGGGACCCACAAGGATCATTGAGTCCAACTCCTGTCCCTGCATAGGATAATCCCATGATTCAGACCATGTGTCTGAGGGCCTTCACCAAATGCTTCTTGAATATTGTCAGTGCACTCTTGTAGAAGAGTAAAAAAAGACTGTTGTCATTTAAGTTTCATTTCTCAAATGTTTGCACACAAAAAGAACTTAAAGAAAACACTCCCAATTTAAAAAAATCTGAAAACTGGTCAAAGATCTACACTGCAAGCACTATGAGGCATCATGCAGAATGAAGATCCATGAGAACGGGACATTTATTTAGTTCTGTGTCCTGTTCCCAAAATACAAACTAGTTCCCTTGGAGAGTTATGAAAAAAAAAATATATTTATAAGCCTCAAGGGTTACCTCTCAGTTAGTTATTTGTAAGCATTTTCATTGCTTTTGATTTCGCTCTAAAAAACTCATCTATAACTAGAACTGGGCATCTATAACTACACTAACATCTATGCCAAAGTTTCCCAAAGCAGGCAGCAATCATAAGGTAAGAATTTTCAGGTTTGTCTTTTTTTAATCAGCTTATGAGGTTTAAAGAAACTAAGATTGCAATATTAATTTCTTAAAACATAAATCAACTTTCAAATATTTGGAAAACATTGCTCTAAGAAATAAAACATTTTCACCGAGAATGATATTTCTATAACAATATCGAAGTACAAATACTCTCATCACATATTCTTGTAAAGTTTCCCACTCAAAAGTATAACAGAATATATTTACTTTAAACATGGGACATTATCACGAAGTCCATCAGATGAACTGCTACTAGTAGATGGATGAGACTGGGGAACAATGGATTGAGGATTAGAACCTGTGCCTGGAGTTGGCAAAGGTGGCACCTGCTCACCATCGGGAGATTCAACATCATTTATCTCATATAACAGACGTACTTCCAGCATCTGTAAGTAAAAAAAAAAAATAAAATTAAAAAAACCCAGTAAACTCTGCTTTCAAAAAACTAGATATGAAATAAGTGAGGCACAACTGAAGATACTAGTGATAAAAGTGACATACAGGACATTTAAAAGATAACAGTAGTTTAATAAACAGTGTAACCTAAACACAAACTTGTAGTCTTGAGAAATAGAGTCATACTAGCTACTACAGACAAAATATCTGAAGATTGCTAAAACTTGGAAATCTAACCTATTTCCCAATATTTAAAAGTTTGCTGCTTAACACTGGAAAGAATTTAAATACTGGATACAAGACCCATTTAATGATCATTCTATGGACATAATAAATACTCAGTTAGGAAGTTGACTTGTTTTATGTAGTTCAGGAATGCTAAAACTAAAAAGACCTGAAAGAACATATAGACACCTACACTTTATACTGTTGTAGCACTGTACACACAGGACGTAATTCAATGTTTGATGTTGCACTGAACTAGACCATACATTTTAAAGAACTTTAAGTTCATCATGACTTCAGATTTCCTTCTGCTGGATCTGTAACAATATTAGTATTAACTGTAGTGCAGTGCAAAGAAATTTTTCTGCTGTTTTATTCTTACCATCTGCAAAGCAGAACTTAATTCATGGACTGAACCAAACGACTATACAGTATTTTTTTAAGCATTCCTAGTACTGAAAAATAGTTTGCTAGGGGCTGATTTGCAAAGAATCATTTAGAAAAAACTATATCCATTAGAAGGGAAGGTACTTGTACGTAAGTAAACACCAGAAAGAAAAAAGATATGCCTCATTTCCTTAAACTGAGACTTATCTGAAAGGGGCAGAAAAAGCCATCTACATTACAATTAATGCTTTACTTAGAACATACAACATTTTATGATTAAAAAGCTTCAAATTAGCTTTCATGTCATATATTCAGATAAGTGAAGTTGCATGTGTGTGTTTGATTTAAAAAAGGGCTTATCAAACTCTTGTAATAGAACTTATTGTAACTTCTACAGCATAAAACAGTGACACAGCAAAGTCCTTGACAAACCTTAGGGCATGTCTGGCACACTTCTACTCTTTTAGCTCTGTATACTGAGGAAGTTTTGCCAGACAGAAGGTAGTTTGGGAATCAAGGGGGAGAAAGAAAAAGTACCAACTCCCTAAAAGCTTTGCAAAGTAATCAACGCCCCATTTCATTCACTTCTGTTTTAATTTTATCTTTGAATCAGACAAATTTTGATCCACTATTTGCTTTAATAGACAAAACAAAGAACTGCTATTGACTGCAAAACCCAAAAAGACAAATGAAAAACAAAATCTTGGTGTGCAATTTTCACTTTTGCCGAATTTCATAATTTATTATTTTTCCTCCACAAAAATACAACTCCTCATTTTGAGGCAATTTTGTCCATTTCACTAATAAAATGAAAGACAATGAAGATGTAAATTGCTACAACAGTTCCTACAAAGTTAAAAAATGGTTATACTAATTACCGGAATGACTTCCGTTGTCACTTCCTGCTTGCTGAACCTGTAAATAATGACATGTGCAGAAACTCCAGCTACGCACAGCATTCTACTTTCTGGACACCATGAGATGATCTGAATAGCGTATGGATCTTCATCTACTATATCTGTGTTTGGCCTGTCATCTTTATTCCTTGATTTTTCAAATACTTTGGCTGTTTTTAGCTTATAGAGTACTTGCAGTGTTACTAGGAACAAATCAAAAGAGAAAAATTAGTTTTGATCTAAACAGATATTTTTCTCGTTAATTTTTTTTTTCATTTAGAAACTTCTCTTCATAGACAAAGCCACTATATTCACAAGAGGGCAGAGTAGAAGAACCGAGTATCTCTGACTCTGCCCATGCAGTACGCCACTTGCCCAAAGCAGGATCAGTTAGTATAAAAAAAAAAAAAAACAAACCCCAAAAAAACAAAACCCAAACACCACCACCACCTTTCCTGAGAGATATATACTAAGCTTCAGTTATAAACTAAGCTCTCACAGCTTCTCAAGACTTAACTATACTTAGGGACCTTTTTATAACAATAACATCGTTACATATGCCATACTTGCAACTTAAACCTATCTATGGCAGACAAAGGGAAGCGCCCTTCCTTTCTCCTTAAAGTATTTCAAATCCACAGCCTCCCACCTGTGTTTGCAGACCTATGAGCCCTAGCTCCTCCAATTTTTATTCTGTCCTGTCTAATCATTCAAAAGCACTGCCCTCTGATCAGTCCGTATTTTTCTTGACCGTGTTTCCTATAATTGTTCCAATGAAGCCTTGCCACAGTTTAAAGTTGTGAAATAATTACTCCATGCTGGTTTTGCAAATATTCTCACTTATTTATAGAAATGATTTTTTTTGTGCAACACTGATACTGCAATCCATTAGACATCTTCCCCCCCCAGAACATAAGTTCTGAGTATAAATTGTTGATCTTATATTTAAATAAATTGTCTTGGATGCTATTCAAGAATTAATAACATCATTCTCAATCATAATTCTAAACTTTTTCTTACATTTTGTTTCAAGTGTCTTAGTGTTGCTTTCAAACTTCACAGGCATATTCTCTAGTCAATGGCCCAAATCACTGCTACAAATAGTATCATTAGGAAAACTTAATTTATAGCATATTTTCTCCTCTTCCATATTTCAGTGGTTTTACCTTGCTCACACTTCCCTAGTTCATCTCTAAGACTTACTATTAGAGAAATTTAAAAGTTTTAAAATCAAGATACAATATACTTGCAGTTTCTCCATTAACATGTTTATTTATCTGTTTAGAAAGAAACTAAATGTCTTTAAAAGGATCTCCTTTTGACAGACCTATGCTGAATAGAATTTTTAAGCACACAGAATCAATCAGGTTTGGGGTTTTTTTCCCCCCTTCTCTCTCTCACAGGTTCCACCCCCACCTCAAACTGAAATTAAAGATCTATAATACTCCAAATACTCCTCCTCCCAGTTTTTAAACATATACATTGCATCTGTTCCCTTCCACACCCACATACGTCTTAACACTTTGGAATCTCAGCCTTCCACAAGTTTTCAAAGACAACTGATAATGATTCCAAGACTGGTTCAGACAGCTTTTGAGTACAGAGAGTAAGGTTAGTCAGAACAAGATTAATAAAAGCATCTAACTCTGTGTAGTCCATTCTAATTTGAATTCTTACTGCACTTCTCACTGTTATCTGTGCAGACCATCAGATGCAATTGACCCTTTCACTGAAGAGAAATGTAAAACAGTATCAGACTCTTCAGACCTGTTCTGTGTTCCAAAGAAAAGTGTCTTTATTTTACTCTTCTCCTACCTTTCTTTACAAATGCCTAGATCATTTTATTAGCACAAGCTACTACTGGTTCCAATTCTCATTTTTAGATACTGTAATTTATGAGGAACTGATGTCTTATAAATACATGTCTAAAAAAGACAGAAATAACTTGCTGAAACTCAATTGTACTAAAAAGGAATGCATTTGCCTGTCATGCAACTCTATGCTCAATAATGTGTGCTTCTGAAGGTGTTTCTAAAAAATTCTATCTGGCCCTTGGACTACCAATGCATTTTCACTGAGGTGGTAAAAACAGTGAAACTCCTACAGAGTTACTGACTCTACATGAGGCAGGAAATAATGAGTATGACTAGTCTGCAATTACATTCCATTAGAGAAATCAGTAAGTTTAGAAAAATCCTACTGCACAGGAAAAAAAAAATCTCTACCAAAAACACTTACTTGCTGAGGCATCCCAAAACTTGATTGACCCATCAGCATGCCTATGAAATATTAAAAAATTATTAAGATGGTAGAATGGTTAGTTGGAGTGTTAGATCTCTTTGCTACTGATTAGAATATATATGGCTAGCATTCTATTTTTATTAGTATTCTTAGTGACATTTTATTTTCACAATTTATTGGAAGCCGATATTTTACAAATGTGTCCAAATTACTTTGGACAGAAGGGATTAAAAAAAACATCTGAAGGCTAACTCCCTGAAATTCCACTGTTTTCTGTACTGATACTAATTTACTATTTTAAATACTGACTTCAGTTACCTGCATTTCCCATAAACACTTTGGTATACCTTACCATATGTTGTTTCTTAAAAGATGCTCTTTATTTGGAGTGACATTTGTAAAGGAGATGCCTACATATACTGTATTTCAGTGTAAATGAGTCACCTAACTTGTTCATTTATCCTTGAAATTGAGAATCAGATTACTAGATTTTTTTTCAGGACTGTCTCAAAGTCTCTGCAATGTGTAGTATAAAGTGACAGTAATCCTTATTATGGCTAATGGATTGTTCTTAAAAAAGCTTTAGTAGTGCTCTCACTTTCAGTGATGCACTGCACAGTTATAAATTAAATTTTATTTAGAAGGATCAGTCTCAAAAGAGATAAAAATGAACATATTAAGTATTTGGTTGTCCTTTCTGAAATAAAAAACTTGGCTTCCCTTTGAAAACTGAACTCAGTAACTATCTAACAGACTTCCTATGCTTTAAAACACTATTCAATTATTTTCCAAAAGTTAAAGAATAGAAGATAAATTTCATCCAGGATATACTGATAGCAAGCAGACATAATCACAATATCACATCATAATAATAGTCCCTGTAAAACACCTGCTATCATTTTGTTCCTACCTTCTCTTCAACATTTTGCTTTACTTCCTTGTTAACACCTCAGTAAGATTATGCAAATAACTTGTCTGGTGAACATAATTTCTTAAACCATTCAAACTTTTAGAACATTGTTTTCTGTAAGAGGAACAAAATATTCTCACTTCTACTTAATCAGCTAAGAAAGTTATTACTACACTACAGTGTCACTTACCCTGTAATAATTATCTCTGGATAGCTCTGAGTGATGAGACCCCAGTTGCCTCCACTGATAGGCCATTCCTGGAAGATTAACAAATACACTGAGGAAGAAAATATCATACAGTGCAAAGTTAAGCCACTGAAATTACTGCAGATACTACAGATTCCAGTATTTTACTGCAGATTAAAAAAACTAACAAACAACAACAAGAAATAGGTCATCCTTTTGTTTCCAGTGATATGGGAATCAATGGGAGCACACCACAAAATCATGACAACAGGCTTGACATATCCTGTATCCTCCCTAGACATCTGCTATTTGCCATTGTCAAAGACGGGACAATGAGTCAGATGGAGCTTTGGTCTTTTTGGTCTTAGTACGGCCACTCATATAATTTAGAGCTGTTGACTTTCAGTATTTTCAAATACATATGCATGTACTAGATGTCGTACCTTCTTACTGTAACCTTGACGTTTCTGTCGAGCGCCAACTGAATAGAGTGCAGGTATGAGGTCCACAGGACAATCAGCAAAATACTCACAACAGGTAACCGGAGATTCATGTATAGTCAAAGGATAAGGATTCTCAAATATAGGGTACCTTTAAGAGATGAAGGGGGAAGGCTATTAATCTAGGAAAAACCTTTTTTTTTTAAAAAAAAACCAAACCCTATTAATTTTGTTGCTTTTTTCAGGTGTGAAACAATTAATACTTTGCAAGTCAATCATAACTAAGACCATTATAAATCTTCTAAAAACATAACTGCCAAATATTTTACCGTGAAATGAAACAAGCCTCAGCATAACTTCAAATTTCAGGCACTGCAAACTATTTCATTTAAGAAAAAAAAAAAAAAAAAAAAAAAAAAAAAGCTCTGTACAAACCTTTTTATTTCAAGCTAACTCAAACTTGTTTTATTAATCTTTCAACATATGAATGTTGGAAGTTTAATACCATTGATGTATCAGAAATAAGTTCTGGATACAGCATATGGCCATGTGACACTGGGAAAAATCTAAATGAAATTGCCCAGTTGCTGCAGAGATATTAGGACTAAACTTGACCTTCTTACAAATTCAATATTATCTCAGGTATCATCATTGACTTTGAGGATACATATTTACAGGCTTTTGTTTTGCCCTAGAAAGATGTTCTTCACAATAATTTTTTCTTCATTGATCATTGGTGACTCTTAATCAGGAACACTACATGATCTTACCTGTCTAGTTCCTCTGCTACTGATCCCTTAATAGTGAGTCATTACTGCCTATACCAATTTCAAAACCCCTCAAAAAATTTTTTAGGATACAGAATTTTTAATTTTACACCTAACAGAGTATAGGGACTGTTCCACGGACAAAGTAACAAAAGACTAAGTGTGTTAGGCAAGTATTAGTTGTGAAAACTGTAACAGGATACTACTTTTGAGCAACCTCTTACCATAGTAGTAAACCAGGAAGTAGACATTGCAATTCTAATTTTATGTATACAATATTTATTGCATCAGTATTGAGTTACTTTAAGCAATACAGACAGCGGTTCATTTGGCAATAAAATAAATTATGTCTTGACAACACCACTCTGTGTCAGTCAAAATTACCTGGATTACCTGAACAGTTGTTTCCCCTGCACCCTTTCCCAAAATTCTGAGCTCCCCTCATAGCACTAAGGAATCAACTTCAAAATTAACTGTGATAATTAAAAAGCAGCAGTGATCTATGAGCAATTTCTGTCAGTCAATCAAGCCTGGAAAAGTCACTTAATATTCTACTCATCTACTACATATTAACTTGAGAAAAGCTGATCTACAAAGATTCTCACTTCAGCTGAAGAAACTTTATATTTAATATTCAAAATTTTATGTTCTGGACACAGAGGTATTTATGGTAGATTAAAAAGCTACAGAGCAGAACAACAGGCTGATCACTGCAGCCAACCATTAAAGAGACTACACAAGATTCTTACCCATTTTGTGCAAGGTCAATCAGGACTAAGTCTTTTTCTAGGAGAACAACTACAGCATATGGTTCCTGAAAGTCTGAAAACAAGAAAGTTAATTGTTGGTAAACGTAGTTCTTGCATGCACAGCCTCAAGAATGTGATCAGTCTCTGCACTCCAGTAGTCAAGAGCAGAAATTGTCACTTAGATTACTATAGTTTCTGAAGATATTTCATACACTCATCCCCACTGAACACTTCAAGTTAGTTTTAAAAAGCCATGCTCTCCCTTTAATTCAATATTCTCAACTCTCTTCCAATTTGCTGGAACCATTTAAACAGTCCACGTAACAGGAAAAGGTACATGCAGAGGAACTTTTATGAGCATTATTTTTGAGAAAGAGTCAATTACTGAACAGTAACATCCTCTCACCCTCTAACTTTTTCTCGTATTTCTCATATTCAGTGGGGTTTAAATTCTAATTGCTTACAAAATGCATTGAAAGACAGTTGATTTGACACTAAAATAAGAAGAGTTACCAAAGTTTATCTTGCTCACTTTCAGGCAGACCTCAAATTTTGAGCTAAGAAGTTTCACATACTGTGAAGGAAGTTAACAGCTAAAAACATTGGAGTCATTGGCAACATAAAACTATTAATCTGGGACAACTACCTGAACTATGATAAAAAAAATCACCTTCTTAAGAGAGATTACAGGTTAGTGACAAACTGTATGTGAGTTTTGGAATGAATAAAGTCACTAAAAGTTAGGAATACTGCACAAATGCTAATCAAGATTTAGCATTGACTGGAAATATCTTATGTGCTCAAATAAATATTGATGAATACATCTGCTGCAGTAACGACAGCTTAAAACTGTAATGATACTTTTTATCTTCAGATCCTTTTGGGATTAAGAAAAAATGAAAAATCATGCAACCAGTAATTGGCATTCTTCTAGAAGTAAAATAGGTTTTATAATAAACTATTCAATTATGATGATTCGAGAAGAAAAACATACTTCAGATAATAGGGATAACAGAAGTTTGCTGCTGTAGTCCAATCCCCAGAGGTAAAACAAAAGGCAATAGTAAAGAATATTCTGATGTGATAAACTCCAGAGAGAAGAGGTCAAAGTACAGAGAAAAATCTTTACAGAGCCTACCATTAGGATATGGTGTTTCACAGAGGGTTAGAAAATCAACAATAGAATAATCCATTTCTAGCACAGCAGTACTTTTCCCATGCATAACTGTTAAACATGGTCTTCTTCCTACGGTGTCATATGACAAGCCTCCTGAGAGAATGATGAAAGGCTCCCTGGAATAAAGCAGAGGCATTTAGGATCAAGCCATGATAATACGTTGAAATTGGACAGTTTTTGTAACCTTATAATGAAGTTTAATGAGATATCACTAAACAGAGACACATTAAGAATAACGCAAACCAGCTCTCCATGCAATGTAGAGCTTGAGCATGTTTCAAAAATATAAAACAAGTTAGAAGACTATAACTCCAATATGCACATAACACAGTTCGGTATTTAATTTACTGAAAAAGAAGATGAAATAAATATATTAGGTTTACTAGGTACTTTATTCTTTCCCAGCTATCAAAAGTCACTCATTTTAATACTGTTTCCATTTAAAATAGGGCATAATACTCTTTGAAGACAGGCTGAAAGAGTTGGGGCTGTTCAGCCTGGAGAAGAGAAGGCTCCGGGGAGATCTTATAGCAGCTTTCCAATGCCTGAAGGGGGTCTACAAGAAAGCTGGGGAAGGACTTTTCATAAGGGTAGTTAATGACAAAACAAGGGGAAATGGGTTTAAGCTGAAAGAGGGCAGGTTTAGATTAGATATTAGGAAGAAGTTCTTCACTGTGAGGGTGGTCAGACACTGGAACAGGTTGCCCAGAGAAGCTGTGGCTGCTCCTCCCTGGAAGTGTTCAAGGCCAGGCTGGATGAGGCTTTGAGCAACCTGATCTAGTGGAAGGTGTCCCTGCTGATGGCAGGGGGGTTGGAACTAGATGATCTTTTAGGTCCCTTCCAATCCTAACCATTCTATGATTCTATTATTCTAATACCTTCTAAAAGCAGACTGACAGTTTGCAAGTATACAGCTCAAGAAATTTCCCCATTATTGACTATTGCCCCAAATTCCAGGCTATATTTCTAGAAGAAAAATAGGCACTTACAGTGTGAAATTCATCTGATCTATTTTCATGCTTACTTCAGGTAGGTATCTTACCCTTTGTTTGTGCCTACCTCGGAAACAGCTAGCGTATCAGTATCTGGGGAGAATTTGTAAGGGAAAAAAGCCATTCTGACATACTGTGAGAAAGAGGCCAAAGATCTTGTATTTTTTGTCTTTTCCTATAACATCAACTTTCCCATACTGTCTAAATGGCTTTCACTAGTTAGCATTTGAAACACAAATGTGACAGATTAGGTACATCTTTCTTCTTGAAAACTGTGTATGAAGGGTTTGTTTATGCACATGCTGCTCTTCATGAGTTTAAGGCTTGGCTGAAACATGCTCTGTGTTGAAGGAAAAGCAGACTGAAATAAGCTTTCCGTTTCTACAATTATTTCACAATCTGCCTGATCCTTCAGAAAGCCCTATGACTGAAGATTTGATAGGATCAAAGAGTTCTGCTGGCTGAGACCTCAAAGGAACGGCCATGAATTAGACCATAATGGGTCCACTGAGTTCAATATCCTGCCTCCAACAGTAACTGAAAGTGTATTTCTAGGAAAGTATTACATTTTCTCCAAGTTTTCATTTAATGTCAATTCTTCATATCGGAACTTCACACCACGTTTTATGGTCAGGTCCATGAAGTAATTTCAGTAAAAGGGCAAACTTAAATTCAACTTGATATTTTTCAGATTGTCAACGAAGAGAAAAATATTGGTGTGATGTACTTGCAGTATCTCATTGTGCTGGAATGATTTATTGCAGTATCTTTTGTCTACACAAATTCATTAGGTTTTTTTTAAATAATAATACTGCCACGACAACTTGCAGTAATTATTAGACTTGCAGGTTCACCAAGATCAACCGAGAATAACAAAGTACCAAATTTCAGTTTCTAAGTTTCACACACCACAGTGAAAACTGCATGCTGGTTTCTTCTGGTTTTATTTCTCAAGGTAATCAGACTGCTTTGGGCAGCCTTGCCAGAGTCTGTATCCTTACAAAGCAAAGAATGGAAAAGCTAAGAATAGATTACATGGATCTGTCACACAGATTTTTCACAGATGAATCAAAGAATTAAGTTGACTTTAGTCTGCCAGAAAGAGTAATACAAGTTTTTGTATAAACTTTTTATATTCTCATGAAACCATGGATTTACCACATACACATACTGTGTGTTATCTAATTAAGTACTTAAAGTGTTGTCCTTAAGTTGTGATGCACATTAAAAGGTTGGTACACACAAATATTAAATAGAAACATGTAATTTAAAATAAAAATTAAAAATTGTACTTTACATAATAGATAAGGTTGACCCAACTTTGATAGTTACATTTTACCTACCTGAAACAATGAAAAACATTTAACAAAAAGCAGTGCTCAGCTCTTAGCAAACTGCTATATAGTATTTTTAGCAGCTGCAAATACAGAGATTCTTCTTTGAAAGAGTTCCGATTTCTGGAGGTTTGTAAGCAATTCCTTTACATTAATTTCCTCATCAGTTAAAACCATAAAATCACTTGAGGAACACTATAAAAAAATCACTACAGAGGGGCACAACATTTCATCAAAAAATATTGTATAAAACACAGGACTAGATCTTATAGTGCATGAACATAATACAACTGAGAGCCAAGTGGCTCACAACTCTGGAGGAAGGTTCTGCTCAATCTTAGAAGTAAACTGTTCAACATCAGACAGTTTCTAGCAATCTGGATGTGTGAGAGAACAATATATACAGAAGTCAGGCCACTGGTACCAGCTGGCCCTCTTTTCAAGCCACGGGTGAATTTGTCAAGAAGTTAACTCCAAGTAATAAAAATGGAAAAGACTTGAAGAGTTAGTTTAGTTTAAGACTGGAAACCTTGAAGTAGTAGTGAAGATAAAGTAATTTGAGCCCAGGAAGAAGGAAGGGGTGGGGGGAAGGTGTCTTAAGATGCGGTTGTTACGTTTCACTGTGCTACTTGGATGATTGGTAACAAATTAAATTGATTTTTCTTCCTTAAGTTGAATTCTGTTTTGCCCGTGACCATAACTGGTGAGAGAGCCGTCCCTGTCCTCATTCTAATCTGTATCCCCTTTGTTGTGATTCCCTTGCCATCTTGCTGCGTTGAGGGGAGTGAGTACAGCACCGTGTGGTCCTCCACAGGAACTCGTTACTTCACAAAGAGATGGAGTATTTTAGGTGAACTTCAATGGCTGGAGAACAGTGACAATCACTCTCTACCAACTTACTGAAAGGAGGTTGTAGAGAGGTGGGTGTTGGTCTCTTATCCAACATAACAAGCAATAGCACAAGAGGAAATGGCCTCAAGTTGTGCCAGGGGAGGTTTAGATTGGATATTAGAAAAAACTTCACTGAAAGGGTTGTCAAACATTGGAACAGGCTGCCCAGGGAGGTGGTGGAGTCACCTTCCCTGGTGGTATTTAAAAGACAGGTAGACAAGGTGATTAGGGACGTGGTTTAGAGGTGGAATTGGTAGTGTTAGGTTTATGGTTGGACTCTGATCTTAAAGGTCTTTTCCAACCACTACAATACTGTGATTCTGTGGGACATTATGCTCTGGGACTGGAAAGTTATGCCAGTTTGCTCAAGGAATATACTAAGAACTTGCCTTTTCAGCCCCCTAGCCCAGGTACAGGATGACTGTCAACAGTAACCTGTCTACATATATTGTCCCAGAAATAAAGCTACGGACATATTATTGTTGTAGGGTAAACAACTGGCTTTGGAGACTTCAAAGGCATTACATGCAGTAGGCTTAAAAAACCCAACAACAGAAAAACCAAAAATAAATAGGTAGTCTGTAAGAACCAGAATGAGCCTCATGTTCTCCTGTTTCCCTGACTCCAGCTTCACAATATGGAGAACATAATGGAGGGCAAAAGTGAGAAGAAATTAATAAGAGCTGCAACAGTAGAAAGAATAGTGTCTGTAGCCCTACTACAGGTAGCAATCAGGTATGTTCCTTCCATGTGATTCCGGGCACCTTTTCTCAAAAAAAAAAGCTTACTAGAATGAGAAGCAGTAAAGAAAACAAGTAAGATCACATCAGTGAAGCGTTTTCCACATGAGGAGATACCGAAACAAACCTAGATCCTAGACCATTCTGGATAAAGGGGTAGCAAGAAAGGAGTGAATTCCATATAGAGCATGGAAGAAGTGAACACGGAACAGTTACTCACTGTTTTTCACAATAAAGAAGTTAGGTGAAAACTTAAGTATACATTAATTAAATATGTTGCAAGCTTTTTGCTTTTGTTTTCTTTTGTGGGGTTCCTTTTTGTTTTTCAAGAACAGTCAGAGCAGACTGCTATAGAAGCAAGTTTATTAAATTTCTTATATTTTTTCAGAAGCTAGAAAAAAATTTGGTTCTGTCTAAGAACAGATTCTCCTCTGTGCTACAGAAATTAAACCCCGAACAAGAAACAACAGTGTTTTAGCTAAAAGCCAAAATTGTATCATGTTCATATCTAATCAATTTCAATTTGTAAAGAGAAAGACTATAGAAGTTTTAAGCATTGAAAGGTAGTTCTGCCTTGCCTTAAAGTTTTTGTAAGGTTACAATTGAAACTGAAAATTTAAGTGTAAACTGAAGTACCTGTAGCAGTAAATAAATGGAGATTTTCAGTGCACTGCTTCACCACCACAGTGTCAACAGGTTTTTTTGTGGTGCTGTGTGCAGGGTGGTTTTTGTTTGGTTTTGTTTTGGTTTTTTTCTTTGAAAATAAAGCTCTGTGTTTAAAAGTATACTGAAGATGGAGAAAATATTAAATTGAAATACATCAAAACATTCAGTTTGGATGAACACTGGAAAATGAGAGGTGTAACAGAAAAAAGCCCACACTAGGAAAAACTAGTCTCCCCAAAGAGCTATGTATTCTTAGAAATTAAACTGGAACAAGCTCCTCTTTAAACTGTGTGAAAATTCAACTAGTTCTCATATTGTAATAGTATAACTGCATAGAACAAGCTTCAAACTAATAATTCCTGACTATTCCTAACACGAGGCTTTTCATTGCAGAAATTGTAACTTGCTGAAGCTGAGGCTACTTTTGGCTATCTGTATCTTTCTTTAGGTCAGCTTTTCACATTTCAGTTGAGAAAGGAATAGGCAGACGGATGTAGACTGCTGCAAGTAAAATACGACCTTCCAACGGATCATAGATGTTCATACATCTGGGAATTAGCCATAGTCTTAAATTTCTATTTACCTGACTTTGGGCAAACAATAAAAATACACAAAGCCACTGATATTATATGTATGGGCATATCAATATATAGTAGAAAATTGCATTACAATAATTAAGTAACAATCTACTATAGAATTGAATGTCTGGAAAGTAAATGAAAACAACATATAAATCCTCTAAAAGTAAAAGAAAATAATAAAAAAAGAAACAATCAACATTTGCAAATAACTGAACAGGTTTCCATTAACATTTTGTCTTTATATTGCACTTTTTACTCAAACACTTGAAGGATTCTAGAACCATAAATAAAAAATTTCACACAGTTAATGAAATCCTTCAATCCTAATTGCAGTCTTGGTAACAAAACACACTACTCCAGATACCGTAATTCCATCTGAGCCTCTTGTTGCAATTACTGCTTTGTTACAATCTCAATGTGCATAATTAGGCACAATTCACTGCATAAATTACTGCACTCTACCAGAAAAAGCTTCTGTCAGTAACACTTTTAGGGGAGGAACACTTTTTCAGGATTTAGAACATTTGCATCAGGCTACTATTTGTCAAAGTTCAGTTTTTCAAGTCTGTGCTTTAGTGTCTTCTGTGCTTTATCAGCCTTTTATCTTTAATATTCTCCAAAGATCGAGCAAAACCACGCAAACTTAGCAGCATGATTGAAGCATGTAGGTAATGCATTAGCAGTATCTTTACCTAAGTTAAGGTTCATATATAGTAATTTATACACCTATGTTTTTTTAGTTTATTCAGCAATATCTGATTTACCAAAACTATTTCAACTGTTTTACCATAGCTCAGTGCCATCAGGGTATGTATCCCAACAACTGGGAAACAAAGTACATTCCCAGAGAGCTACATTTATTTTACATATGTTAATTTTGTATATAAAACAATTCTTACCCAGCTCTAGTTGTTTTATATTCCACCTTAAGGATCGGTTTGCAGGGTTCAGGCTTCTTTCCATCCTTCATCTGCTTTCCTAAAGTGAATTATTTTCTTATATTAATCTTACAGTTCCATAACGTCATGACAAATTATGAAATCCATTATGCAACTTGCAAAGTAGAACACTCATATAAACATATATTCAACACCTTTGACAATTATACAGTGACTTGGAAGGATATCATTAAAGATTTGTTAAAAGTCTCAATACACCAACCTAGAATATCTACATTTAGAGCTTTTTAAGTGTTGTAGAATATTTGTTTTCAAAGATATAATCCTCCCCCAAAAAAGTTGTTTTAAGTAGCACTAGGAGATCTAAAATTTATCTCGTGCCTACCACTTTGCAATTAAAATTGATCAGCTTACAAGTAAAATGAGGTTTATTCTGAGTGTTACCCCTGAAGGGCAGGACTTGAATTTGAACATGAAGGCCCACTCTTCCTCTGCTGTGCACTATTAGCAACTAAAGCTTCTACAGATACAGTTTACCATTTAGTCAGTGTAAATATGGATCTTTTCTATATGAACAATGATAAAGTCTGATACAACTATAAAGTTCTGCAGAAAGTTTAATTTGCAGCCCAAGACCAAAATAAAAATGTTTATTAAAAGAGGCCAAAGCATATTAAAATCAAATTAGTCTTGTCTAACTAGCTTTACTACTATAGCAGCAACCAATTTTTTTATTTTTTGATGGCTACAGGATCATACAGAAATCCACAGCTTCCTTTTTCCACTCTAGTCCACAGCCAGCAGAGTAAACAAGGACTTGCTGGAGACTCAGACATGTAAACCAGGATGCCTAACTATAGCACCTTGTACTATGACTGTAACCTCACGGATTAGCCTCACTGTTACATTCACACTTAAGCATCTGAGGTAAATAAATTGCTAAGACATGACTAAGACACATGCACACCATGCAAACCTGGTGTTTGTATAGAACCTTTTTTAAAGAGCAACAGTGTATCTCACATAAGAATATGTAATGTTAATTTCCTAGATTAACATTAATGCAAGACTTCTCAGAAGAGGGAACATCTTACCAGATGCTAGCCTTACTCTGTTACAAACCTTTCCAAGAATTTATATGGTAATCTTCACATTTATACATGAAACAGATGCTTGCTTGTATGTATTTTAAACAACATATGGGACTGTAATGTCAAGGAAAAGGCAAGCCCGGCAAAATATGCATTAGTTAATTTTAAGGTCAATGCCATTGTGTGAAAGGCAAGCTTAAAGTTCAGAGATTTAGACAAAGCCATGCTGATTTGGATTCTTATTTCATAAAAACTTTTTTTAAATGAAATCTATAAAAATTTGATAAGACAATTTTTTTTTTTACTTGCACTGCAAGTGCATTTTCAGTACTTGGTTTTGTAAAACATGCTTATATTAAAAATAAGTTTGCTTGTGTTTTAACAGCTGTCAAACACAGTGGGTGTCCATTTTCATCTTACCATGTGGAGTGATTGTCTGGAATGGTTTGGTAGGAGATTTTACATTCCATATAGTCAAGGTACCATCTGAGTGACTACAAATAAATTGTTTTCCTTCATGATGCCAAGCCACCGAGTGGATAGCCTATGCAAGAAAAAACAGTACAAGTTGAATATCTTAGTATAATTTAATCCTTACTCCTTTCTCAATGACATTAGACAGCAAAAGGAAATTACAGAAAGTACTAATTAAATCACACTGCTCCTAGTATGTCCTCATTTACCCATGGTAAGTTTTCCATCCGTAAGTACTTTTCAGACATATTTTACCCATCAAAAATACTGTCTTCATGGTAGTGACATGTTTAAGAGGAAAAAAAATCCTCCTCAGAATGCAGTATTAAAAGTATTTTTCAATGATGGGTAGTATGCAGAGAATAACTGCAAGCATTTATTTCAGCTTTGTTAACCAAAATTTTTTATTACTGGGAAAAATACACTGTCTATATGAAAAAATATCTACCTGATGGGATTATTAAGTCAGACTTTTAAAGGGCATTTTGAGATGTCTGTGTGTCTAAGCACAAGAGGCAAGTATGGGCTGAGAACATAAGTAAAACAAGAATTGAAGTAATGATATTTTGGGAATGATGATGAATGATGATGAAGACAAAATGTTAGCTTGAATAAGCATTCTACTGTTGCAAAGGCAGTTTCGAGGTACAGGAAAGTGGAGGAATCTACTAGTAAATCTATCCATGAATACAGAAACTTCTTTATATTCATGAAATTAGGAATGGAATGATTAAGCCACACCACGTGAAGTCTTACTGCAGAAAAAAGCTGACTAAATGAAATCTCATTGCTGTCTTAAGATGAGAGAAGAGTAAACAGTGAAGCAAAGAGTACAAATAAGGCAAAGATATTAACTAGTAAGAAAAGATTGGTGCCATTTCTGTTTCCAGCATCTCTACTAATACATGGAGACATTATGAAACCATTAGGTGATGTTCAAGGGAATTTTACTTACAGCATGAAATTATCAATAAACACGACAACTTGAAGTATTTTTCTGCTACCTAAAAGGTGCAGAAGGAAGTATGGAACTTTGATCAATTACTGAGAAGGTATGTTTGCTTAATACTTAAGGATAAACATTACGTAAACTGAAAGCAGGACCTATATATGTGAAAGCTGATGGGCTGCACAATATCATCTCTCAAGTGGATACCCTCAGTAGAGATTCTGTCTGTAAGCAGAGCTTCTTAGACTCACTCCAACCCCTCAGGTACCTAGGGATTTCATCTGTGAGGAAACCTGGGTGTGTGAGTAGTAAGGAAACCTAAGTAGCAGTGAAAGCTTAGGCAGTAAATTACTAGGTGAAGACCAAATCACACAAGGCAGATCTAAGCTAGCGTTACCTAAACTGACTATACACAGATCAGATCTTCACATTTCATAAAATTATACAGAAAAACAAGACAGTTTCCAGCAATATGATTGGAAGAATCCAGAGATTAAACAACAGAGGAAAATGACTACACTACATGAGTGGAGAGACTCCAGTAATAGCTTTTCCAGTTTAAAGTAGTAGAAGATAGGGATATCTTTAAATTTAATTGTGTTCTCTATGTAGTTCAGAATCACTACAGATTTTGTTAGAAGACAGATTCAGTGCACAAATATCACATCTACACATACATAAGTCAGAATCCTAGACATCTCACATGAAGTCTCCTAGAATAAAAGTTAAATAGTCTTGCTCATTCTATCTGTAAGGTAAATTTTTATTTAGCAAATAAAAGCAGATATTATAAAAGAAATTTTGCATTAATACTGAAAGGTTCATTTTTTTTACCAACATAGTACCAGAGATCAGTAAGTTTGAAAATACAGTCTCAGTAATGCAAAGGTTGCATTTCAAAAATCTCTTTTCACTAGAAGAAACTATCTATACTATGATTAGCAATACAATGTAGTATGTTTTAAATATGCTCCCATGCGGAGTCTAACCCTGACAACAGTAGGCAGCCCACAGTGTAAATGGAACAGGTTTTTATACACATTTATGTAGAAATTGGCCTTAAGAACCAGTAAGAAATTAAGCTTTATAAAAGGAAGGGTAAGTCTGAGAAATGAACGCTTCTTCCTTCTCTTGAAGAACAAGGTCAAGATGAAGGAAACACAACAACCCATTCCTGTTGAAATGGCATTAATGCTCAAGAATGAAAAGATCTGGTAAACTGAGCACAAAGGAGAAAGATGACTTATCACTTAATTTCTGCAAGGAACCCGATGGGATGGAAAGAACACTGAAAGAGAATGAGGCCTTTGGCTTTATGGCTATTTATTGTCTAGTTTATATATAGAGCATCTGGTTACATTTAGCAATGCAGCTAAATATTATTTAAGGCATAACAAAAATACATGTTTTATGCATTTTTAAAATAAACCAACTAACAATTCTGTGGGCCGAGTATGATGAACTTTGGTACAGAGCACTATCCTTTGTTATTACACAATTCACACTTTTTGTAAGCCTGAAAAATAGAACAAGACCTGTAAGTAGCTGTAGCATAATTTCTAAGTATACAACAGGCTAGTATACCTACACTGACAAGTCAGTTATAATGAAAAAAGTACAACACCTTTAGATGGCACTAGTTGGTTGGTATCAATAGCCTCAATGACCAAAACAAAATTGGTAACTGAAAAATCATCCCAATACTCAAAAGTTGTTACTTTTTCCATTAATATTATTAATGCTAGAATTTGAAGTAAAGCATAATATTCAAGACAGAAAAATCAGGCAGAATCCACTGAGGCTGCAAATCTATACATAGCTTCTTAGGCACTAGTAGTAGTATATTTTTTCCAATATTTAACACAAAACGTACTGATCTAGAGTAAGATTCTTGAAGTTTTAAACATAATTCTCATCTTGATTTAAAATTTTACCTGGTACCCTTTTGGTAATATAATGCAGCAGTATGCTTAAATCAGCTGGTGCTGATTCAACTGTGTCTCACTATATATTTTTGTGGAATATAACACTGGTCATACAGATTCCAAACAGACAGTAATACCTTGTGACAAGAAAATGCACTGGCACCACAGAGGACTGTTGCTGTATTTAAGGCACAAGGCATTTGTATCCTTAAGAGGAGTTGTCTGCACAGTGCACAGGTAACAAGTCCTGGCCTCACTAATGTTCTGAATCCTTCCATTTACAAGCATCCACCAAATACAGGGAATCTTTACAGGAACTTACACAGAGAATGCTCTACTGAAAAAATAAAACCAAACCAAACAAAAAAACCTTATGCACTGCAAATACAGTTGCTACAACTCAAAAAAGGAAAAGCCCAAGTGAACTGGCTTTTTTTGGTTTTGTTTGGTTTTTTTTTTTTTTTAAAGTAATACACACCTCCTTGCTTGCTTTTCAAGTATAAAATTACTTTGGGCAAAATGTTTTTGCACACTTTTTCACAGGAATACACCAGAATCAAGAGAATTCCTTTCCTTATTCTTTAGATTTGACCATGACCCTTAACTCTTTTGTGCCATTAACTGAGCTTGAAGTATACTGTATATGACTAGTAAGGTCCACAATATAATATTAGCTATTCTGCAAACCAGATTGTTTATCATAGCCTATTCAGATTTCACTGTCTTACTATGATAGTTCTCCACATCCATGGGCATGGACAGTATTTTCTGGTAAACCTGAACAGATTATGACACTGACTCCTTTTCTATCAGTTTATCCAAATATTCAAAGCAAGCATAGTAACTTGGGTACCCCCAAGTTAACTACCTTCTCAACAGCCTAAGAAAGAAAGGAAAAAAAAGAAATGTAGCTACTGAGACTTAGATGGCAATACATAATGAAGATTGTTTTGATGCAATGAAACGCACAAGTGTCTAATGATTGCATTGACACACTTTGGTTTCTGGTAAGTCACACGTATCAGGGTTAGGTTCCACCCCCGCCTTAATCCCATAGGCTACTTTGACATGTTTTTAATGCCATAAAATAATCTCTTACATTCAGCCATGTACCAGAACATTGAGTCTAAAAATAGTAATCCATAATACGTTTGGTGAGTTAATGCTATCAAAGCTTACTTTAAATCAGAACAAACAAAACACTACTTGCAGAATAGACTTTATTAAAAAAATGGTTTTAGTTTTCAGAAGTTGCACTTCAATTGTTTAGAAACAAAACTAATAGTTGAGAAATTTGTTTTATTTCTTTCATGGCTGAAAATGTAGTATGTTTGCATTATAAACTGTATTCCACATAAGAAATGCATAACTTTTAAAATCCCCAATGTTTGAACATTAAAAGGCTTAAGAACAATGCAAAAATAATTTACAGTCTCATTTTTCCACTGAGCCTGCCCAAGACAAAAAAAAGGATGTTTTGAGGAAAGAGTTTCAAAGAAACTTTCTAAAGAAAAGTTCATTCACAACTGCAGCTCCATTATGTCACAGATAGTTTCCTCCAAGTTTTCTGAAAAAGAATGTTACATTTGTGTATTCTTCTAACTAATTCTAAACTTGCCACATATTACTGTTATAATAAAAATCATACAGTACTGGAAGTTCAGGATCTCATTTGTAGTATAGAAAAATCAAAAATTCTAACTAAATTCCATTATGAACGAACATGTTGTGGGAGGGAATAACATGCCAGCAATCAGCAGTCATACTAATCATGACCTAGAGCTGTCTCCCCCAGCCATGGTTAAATAGAAATAAAATTACAAAGCTTTATAGGGGTGGTGGTGTTGCCCAACCTATAAGCATTCTTGTCCTTGGGATGCATGCTCCCATCTACAAGAATGGCCAGAAGGAGGATCCAAGGAACTACAGACCTGCCAGCCTGACCCTCACTCAGTACCGGGGAAGATCATGGAGTGGTTCACCTTGAGTGCACTCACACAGCATATGCAGGACAACCAGGGAATCAGGCCCAGCCAGCATGGGCTCATGAAAGGCAGGTCCTGCGTGATCAACCTGACCTCCTTCTATGATCAGGTGACCCACCTAATGGATGAGGGTAAGGCTGTGGATGTTGTCTACCTGGACTTTAGGAAGGCCTTTGACACTGTCTCCCACAGCGCTCTCCTAGAGAAGCGG